ACTTGGGTTTTTTTTTTCTTTTCTCTCTAAATCTGAGCCTCTAGGATCATGCTAATAGGGTTGCATGGAACTATGAGTTCACTTAGACATAGAGTAACTATGACACTAGCCTGTGAGGTCACCCAACACAGGGGTAAAAGCTGTCTTTGCTGTGTCCCCAACCTAACCCAGGGCCAGGTACATAAAGACTGGCAACCACATCTGTCGAAAAGCTGTCTCAGTCCTTGGATGATTTTCATCATTAATCCTCTTTCTATGTCAAGCACTAACACTGTTTAAATCAAACCAAGAAGAATGAAAAAGAAAAGCTTCCTAGTGAAATAAATTCATGGAGTGGTCTCCTGTATGTAGCTGGGGGAAGGGGTGACCAGTTTGCAAGGTTACAGCTATGACTGAATAAGGTGATGATATTAGATTACCTTAAAAAGGTTTAACAGAACCTTTGAACCTCAAATACAATCGATCTCAGGGCGGGGGGTGGGGAACCTTTCTACTTGTACACGACAAAGACAGTGTTGTTTTTCTAGCACAATTGCACTTGGGCTGAGATACTGCTTTGCGTGACTATTGCTAAGACACGATGAGCGACCTCAGAAATGGGCATGGGGACAGCTGAGCAGGACCACTAGTCATACACACAGCACCCACACACCTGCCTTCTGAGTGAGTTTACTCTTCCTCCAAAAAACCAACTAGGACTAGAAGCAAAGATAAGGAAAAACTCTGAGAGTTTGCTTTTAACAACAACAACAACAACTTGTGGCTTTCTGTTACCTGGCGTTCTGTGCATTTAAACAATCTGAAATGTACCAGGTCAATTAAGGACTGTTAAAAAGATCAATCAGTTCTCACTAGAAAGCACAGCTCAAAGTAACAGGACACACAAAAGAAAGCCATGTTTGCAACAGACATTGAACAGCAAGGAAAGCCCTAGGACAGAAAAGTGAACTAAGTGAACTATAAAATTTTACAAAGGTCCACAAATACAATCACTGAACAGCACGTGACTTGCAAACGCCAGGGGCAACCATGTAGTTTTTTTCCTACAGAATAAATTACTGCAGGGAGTCACGTGGTCCTTAGCAGGGAGAAAGATGCACTTTCCCAAGGAAAGTTCATCATTAAATATCTTACTTAAGACTGGACCATCTTCAGACTATTTTTAATCCCTATCATTTCGCTGCCAAAATTGGCCATAAGCAGCTGATACTTGGCTGCCAGGAAAATGATGCTTTTTCACTTATTTCCTACACTGGCATGAGAATGGCATTGCTTTCTAGTTAATCAAGTGTTTTGGTGGATCTGGACTGCCAACAGAAGATAGAAACTGCTTACCGACCAACTAATAAAAAGGAAGCTAACCTCTACTGGATGTGGAGAAGTAAGTTCCTGTCTTCCTAAACCACAAAGACCAAAAGACCAAAAAAAAAAAAAAAAAAAAAAGGAAAAAGAAAAGTCACGCCACCATCTCATCAACAGAATGAAGCTAATCTCCCATTTAAGCCTTCTCTTTCTTTTAGTAGCCCACACCTCACTCTCTTATGAGACATGAAGCTGAATGTTCTCGGCCTGGAGGGAGCTATCAACCTCACTAATGGTCAAAGTGCCCTTATCTCGACACTTCCCCTCCAAGAGCCCCTTCGCCTTGAAGCAATCTTAGTCAACTCATCCACAGAACTCAAACCATGTTACTAGGGGGTAAAATAATAACTAATGGAGCTATCAAAAGACAGAAATCCCCTGCCTTTAATTGGAATAGAAGGGCTGTGTTACTTACTTTATTGGGATCAGTAATGCCAATGCAAACTGTATAGCTACCATGAAAAGCATTCTTGAGAAGATGGGAGCTTACGATAATTTATCTCCTCTCTTTCATTCCAGGGTATCTCATCCAAGGACCAGGTCACACTAGTGGACATCTGGGAAATACTCAGTATTCTAGGTAATACTAAAACCCAGGAGGCTACTGGAATGGGACAGTGGAGGACCCATCCCACACTGTCATTCTTCCTAAAAGATGGCCCCAGGAACCAATGGTAGATAATAGTCAACATCTCTAATTTTTATGTGCATATGACAACGTGGATCTCACAAGAACCACAGGTTCAGACTCATTGGCTATGGGGTGGAACCTGAGAAGCTGCATCTCTAAGAAGCTCCCAGGTGATGGTCTGTGAACCCCACTGGAGTAGCGGGCTCTCAGACATTTCCTAGAACTAATGGTGTCTTGTACTCCCTCTGTCCTGCTTCTCTCACAATGTCTTATTCAAACTTAGGAATAAAGCTACACTCTGTTTTAACCCAATTTCTTCTTTAGTCTTTATTTAATTTGTAAGCTTCTGGGGCTGTGTCTCAGACGCCTCTCCTCCCAAGACACTTTCTCCAAGCTATGGAATGCAGAATACGAACAGTTTTCCTTAACCTCAGAAGGCTGATTTTGCATCAACAGCAGCAAAGAAAAAAAATGACTTCAGATCCGAAATGCCCATTATTCTACATGCAGTCTGATCCACTGAGTCCTAGAAGCCACACAAGTCATTGTCAAAAGTCGGAAGAATGTACTAGCTCTCTTCTGACATTTGACCATGGGCATTCTGAGTACACTGTAAGACACAATACAGTATTAAGGGCGCAACTCTGATTGGTGCAAATTTCGGCGGGGGGGTGGGGTGGAAAATCTGTCTGTTTGCCATATGCCTAAACCAGACATTTAGTTAGTCATGCTCATTTGAAAGGATAGGTAAATCATTGGTAACTCTCAAATACTACCACTTTGATTCCAAAGTATCCACTTATGATTACATTTCCTGATACCTGCTTTTTTTGCCCAAATTCCTTTGTTTTCCTATCCAGTCATCCATCAACATGTTGTTCTGAAAACACATTTTACCATCGGCTATTTGTGCCTCTATATGATTTATGTTTACTCTGAAAGGTTTTGTCAAAAAAAACTTTTTTATCATGTTCTACGGTACGTCATTGTGGTTTGGCACCATAAAATACAGCCTCGACGTTTATCAATCTCAGATACCTGTTGACCAGAGAGACAGGCTCTACTATGAAGACTCTATTTCGAAAGGAGTTAAAAGTGAGCCTTTGCTTAAAAGGTAAACTCAACTGCATGAGATGTTAACATAGTAAAATGCAACAAAACAAAGGCCAAGGTTCTATCTTAATTTCTATCATAAGCATGTCTGTTGCCTAGCTTTTCATTAAATTTCTTAACAGATGAGAGTTAGTACCTTGGATTTCTTTCAACTAGAAAGAAAATTTTGAAATTTTTTTTCATAAAAATATGAACTGTCAACTTAAGTTTTACGTTGGTTTTAAAAAGATCCTTTTGGGAGTCTGGAACTCTCTACCTTTTTGGTTATGGTGGTTAAAAATAAAACCGCCTACTTAACCAAACTTTTAACAAAAATATCCTTCTATCCTTTAGTAAATTCTTCCAGAATTACTAAAGATCTGACAATATAGGATCTTGAAAAGACAATTCACAAGGAGCATTTTAATCGTTAGAAATTTAAATGGGGATATTTTCCTTTTAAACATTGAAAGTGGCATCGGGATTTTGTCAACTTTGATCAAATAGGATCAGATTTTCACTCATCTACTTTCAGCCATCTACTTTCTTGGCTTTTTCTCTTTTTTCTTGGCCTTAATATTAGCATGCTTGTAAACTGTAGTAAAATATGTAATGTGCTTCTTGAAATTGAATCCATTTGTAATAATTTTTAGGCTTTGTGGTCCTGTTAGGTCCTATAAAATAATAACATCAGTAATTCTCCCTAGAGACAATACAAGGAAGAACTGCATTGCATCCTTTTTCAGAAAGAATTCTTCACCTTCAAACAAAAAGTCTGAAAAAACTTCAGACAAGATTTCTCTTGTACTTTTCCATAAATTGGTAATTTTACATATAAGATGCAGATCTCAATTACAATTCTTCAGTCTTAGGATCTGGACACCCTCCTCCAAAGAATCATACAAAACAATACCTTTATAATAACATGATGGAAGCTCTATCTAGCACCAGAAAAAAAATCACCGCACAGACGTTTTTCAAAGCTACAGGCATCGATCAGTACAACTAACCTCAAAGTATGACAGCATCCACAGCTGAGAATTAATGTGTTTACGCTTTCTACAGATACTGTAGATGCAAGTTTTTCCAGCAAAGACGACCAAATGATGTGGACTCTAGGTGGCGAAAAGTAAAAGATACTAAAATTACAGTAAACTTTAAAGTCATATACCCGGTACAGAAATAGAATGCAAAGTATACAACCAGAACAAATTATGTCACTGATGAGATAAAGTATCCACGGCCCAATTTCCTTCAAGACACTCAGTCATGCCCACTGGGAACCATGTGGCACACGCCACAGGATGGAGTTTGTGCGCTTTCCAAAAGTCAACTTACCTCTTTACAAACACATCTAGGTTATCCAGGGAAAGCGGGCTACACTGGATTTCCTCTTAGTATAGATCTTACCAAGTGAGTCAGAAAAGGCATGCCCTTGGTCCTCTGGTGGAGTCTGTTCTTCTAATCGGGTAGTTCCCAAATTGTAGTACAAATAATTCCCAGGGGAACTTGTCTAACACGCGGATTGCCAACCCAACCTGGAGTCTAGCTCATGAGTTGTCGGTGGTTGGGGGTGGGGGGAGGATCTCTGGACCCCCCAGTCTAAGAAACCCTGAAAGGATACCATTTATCCCGAGATCCCACTGGATAGCAAATGCTGGATCTTTAACCCTCCAAAGCTGGCAAGCAAGGAAAACACTTTTGGCCAGAAGGAATCATCAACAATAGGTCCGGCAGCGGGACCTTCATGGGGGGCGGGGGTAGTAGGGCGAGGGAAGCAGGCACCCTGATTTTATTTCCCTGGCTCATCAGCCTGCCCTTGGCCCAGGAGCCCACCCACACTCCAACCACGGATTCTCAGCCCCCGACTGGAAATGTCCAGCCCAGACGCACACGCAAGCAGACGTGCACCTACCCAGCCTCCGTTGTCCTGGATCCAGGTGTGCAAGTGCCGGTTCAGGTACTCAGTCATCCATAGGGCGATGTTGTCCACCAGGGGCGACATCTCCCGGTTGACGCTCTCCACACACATGACCCCACCGAACTCAAAGAAGGCCACAATCCTCCCCCAGTTCACCCCATCCCTGAAGAGCTCCTCCACCACCGTGGCAAAGCGTCCCCTCGCGGTGAAGGGTGTCAGGTGCAGCTGGCTGGACATCTCTGCGAAGTCGCGGCGGTAGCGACGGGAGAAGTCGTCGCCGGCCTGGCGCAGGGTCAGGTGGACCACAGGTGGCACGGGGCTGAGCGTAGGGCCCGCGGCGGCAGCGGCGGCGAGGGCGGCGGGGGGCGGGGGCGGCGAGGTCCTGGCGGGCGCGGGGGTGCGCCCGGGCTGGGAGGAGAAGATGCCCGGCGCGGGGGCGGCCCCCGGGGGCGCGGCGCCCGAGTCTCCGGCATCCCACTCGTAGCCCCTCTGCGACAGCTTATAGTGGATGTACTTCATCACTATCTCCCGGTTATCATACCCTGTTCTCCCAGCGTGCGCCATCCTTCCCCCGAGGAAAAGCAGCCGGGTACCAGCAGCACCTCTCGCCCCTGCTCCCGCCCCACGGCCCCGAAAGAAAGAATAGTTATAATCCAGCTATTTTATTGGATGTGCTTCGCATTCTTGGATGAGGGGGTGTCTTCAGTCACGCGGAACACTTGATTCTGGTGTTTCCCTCTTGGCATGAGATGCAGGAAATTTTTACTGAAATTCCTTTCGGATCTTTATTTCATGAGGCACATTATTATTAATTATTGTTAATATCAGTCTACTTCCTCTGCGATGCTGAAAGGTCAAAAAGAAAACTAAGTCAAAATCAGGTGCATTTTCCTTTATACACTGGGTGAAAGAACGCAGGGCATACACACTACAAGAAACACAGCTTAAAAGAATGTATTAAACTGCCTGGAAATTAAACTTACTCGAATGCACTTAAAGTTAAAATCTCAATTGTTTCCACTGAAAGTTACATTAAACCAATTTCCTGTGCAAAGAACTTACTTGTATTTTTTAAGGACAGCATGATCCTCTGTCAAGTTTCCTTTTTTGTGAAAACAAAACAAATGCATAAGGCAAAGATTCCATCAATCTTCAGAACTCTCCAGTTATAGCTGCTTTGAAACTTCCAAATGAATCAGGAGTTGGGGGAGGGAGGGTAAAAAATTAGGAGAATTTCCAGTTTGATTCCCAGACTTCTCCGTCACAGAAATGTCAATCCGTAGGAATCCCAACCGGAGATCTCAAGAGCACGAGGAAAAAAAGGCAGCGGCGGCGGCAGATGAATTACAATTTTCAGTCCCGTATTTGCAGAAGTCCTGTGATTTTCCTCCTCTCGGCAATTTACACACGCACACACACGCGCGGGCACAGACATGGATCTCTATCCGCGGGACCGCTTCACTCCTCCACGGGAGACAGACAGGGACCGGGGGCCGCCGGACGAGCCGGGCACGGGGGCAGGAATCCTCTTCTGATTAAACTCCGAACGGCAAATGCATTTTCCGAAAAGCTGCTTGATAACGAAGGCAGGACGCGCCCGGCCCGCCGGTGCCGAGCGCGAGAAGCCCGCGCTGTGTGTGGTGCGGCGAGGGGTGGGGAGAAGGAGGTGGTGGGGGAGGGTTTTATTTTTTCCCTCTTTTCCTAAAAAGGATGACTGCTACGAAGTTCTCCCCCCTGGACCCCCTCTTCCGCTGCACCCCACCGGCGCACCCCGCCTCCGGGCTGCGCACCCTTTCTCCTCCTCCTGCTCCTGCGCGGCGGCGCTAGCGGCGGCCGCCCCCTCCGCGCTCCCGCCGCGCACCCGCTCCGGGCGATGACGGCCGCGCCGGCGGGGAGGGCCCGGCGCCCGGCACCTTCGCTGGCAGCGGCGGCGGCGGCGGCGGCGGCTCGGCGGGGAAACCGAGAGCGGCGGGAGGGAGCGCGGCGGGCGGGGGAGGGGGCGGGGAGGAAGGGGGCGGGGGCGGGCGCGGGGCGGGGGGGGGGGGTGGGGGCTGGCCTCTTACTTCATTCTCTCTAACCGACTGGTTTCCTGTACGTACGTCACACGGTTCATTCAAAAAAAGAAGAAAGAAAGAGCCCTCCTCGGAGCCGCCCCGCCGCCCCTCCGCCCCGCTCCCCTTCCCGGGTTAAAGGAGCCGCGGCCGGGCTCGGAGCAGCGCGCCCCGCGGAGGACACATGGCGCGCAGGGCCCGCGGCCGGGGAGGGCGCGCCCGGGACGCCCCCGCCCGCCCGGCCAGCTCCGCTCCACCCGCCCGCCCGCCCGCTGGGCCCGGCCGGTGGGTGGCGCGGGCGGCGCAGGCCTCCCGCGCGGCCGCGGCGCCGTGGGTGTGCGAGGGGCCTCCTCCGGCCTGCAGCGGGCCCGGCGCGCTCTCAGGGGCCCGCGAGGGGCCGGGGGCGCCCGGGGGACTGCACGCGGCCGGCAGGGCGGTTGCCGGGTGGGTGCGCCAAGGGCGCAACCGCCGGGAATCGCTTCTACCCTTGTAACCGAGTGTGTGTGTGTGTGTGTGTGTGTGTGTGTGTGTGTGTGTGTGTGTGCGCGCGCGCGCGCCGAGAATCGCTTCGACCCCTTTAACCGAGTGTGCACGCGTGTGTGCGCGCGCGCGCGTGTGTGTACGTGTACACACCGTGTTGCCGGCTCCTGGCAGCTGCCAGGGAGGAGACCAGGCCCACGCTGACCCCGAGCAGTGGGACCTCAGCGTGGCCCTCCCGCGGAGAGGCAAGGGAAGCCTCGAGCGTGGTATTTACTTTCAAGTTGCTTCCTAGGTGTGCAGGCGGAACACACACCCTGGGGACACCATCCGTGACCAAGGCCAGACAGCCCTCAGCGGGCCAGTGAGGGGCGAGTCGACGACGTCAAGGGCTCTAAGATGGCTAAATAAACGTTTTGCCTCCGCCCCTGACAGGACTGGCACTAGGTTGGGCCTGGTCGCTGCGGGGGGGGGGGGGGGGGATACCGGGTAACTCTCAGGCCCTGAAAAAGGTCCCAACACCGGGTGGGTGGGTTTCCCAAGGCCTGTGGGGTCGCCGAGCAGCCAGTGCCAGATGGCCGCAGCTTCTCAAGTTATCTGAACGCGCGCGTGTACACACACAATCACACACATAAATATATTACACACGCAAGCACATAGTCTTTTCATTCATCAGCCTGCACAGTCCCTAGGAGAAAAGCACAAGAGGGCAAACAAGTTGTGCTTGTTTAACTTTTTTTTTTTTTAATCATCTCAGAAAGTCTTTGGCAAATAAAGGGCCAAGAAAAATGTTTACTAAAAGCCCAGCAGCTTACCTGATAGGGCTCAAATACAGATAGATAGGGATGCTGGGCTAGAGCACTCATAGAAACGTGACAAATGAGCGTAGCAACGTGCACAAACGTGTTCCAACACCATCTTTATTTTGTCTCGTTCCTAGCCTCAAATCAAAGCATGTGCTCTTGAGCAAAATAAGCATAAATTATTTCCATCCCATTTATCATAGGCAACCAGACAACATGCCAACCTCTTGCAAGTAGGGATGGGTGCCTCGTACAAACTTCTTATCCCAGCAAGAAGGAATGAAGGAAGATGCTCCTTCCTGCTTTTTCATGGGACATGGCACTGGGTGGTGGTGGGGCTGGGGTGGGCGGTGGTGACACAGGGTCTGGCCTGGAGATGAACACTGGGTATATAGACTGACCTGGGGTGTATGTTCTCACAGAAAGAGTAGAAACCTATACTAATGCCTCAGCATGATAGTTTAAGGATCTTCTCAGAAGCTTGTCTTAGGCCTCCAAAATTACTTAAGAGGAATTGAAAACCTTTGTGTTTCTGCGACCTAGCATGGGAGTGAGGAAACAAGAGGACAGAGCTGGAAAATAGATTGTACTTCTGCAAAGGGGTCCCCAGAAGGAAACGGGATTCCCCATTCCCGGAGAAAGAAAAGCCTCCTTTTTTTTTTTTTTTTCCTCTCCTTTGCTCCCAGAGAGCCTCACTTGACAGATTTTCTCAGACTTACCCCTTCGGGGGTGGGCATCTTGGCCATCCCCGGCCGTTCTCAGGACAGGGCTGCATTGCAGTCCTGGACTAAGATTATATATTCCCCAGGAATGTTCTGAATTCTCTTCATATTGAAAGCGTGAAACCATTCCTCCATTCAGATTGGGTTATTAGCTTACACCCTCAAGTGTGAGGGCAGGTATTGTAGGAAGTGTGTGTTGTCACTATCTCTGGGTATTGGGGAGGGAGTGGAGGGAGACCTGACCAGAGCCAGGAGTCCTGGGTTTGAATCCCAGATCTGTGCCAAAGACCTTCCAACACCCTCCCACCTGGATGCACTATAGGCTTTTCACTTCGCAAGACACCTTCCACCTTTCAGAGCCAATGGACTACCCGGCTGGCAGCTTTGCCCGGCTGGGTTCTAGGAGTAGGGTGGCACCAGGGAGAGAAAAGAACGAGATGCAAGGAAGGGAGATTGTATCAAGAGCCTGAAAGGCCCGTGTTTTCCTTTATTCTCCCGTCTGCCAAACAAAAAGCTTTTTATTGCCAATTTTCGCCACCTACTGGTTGATGTTTAACAGTATCATTCAGAAAGTTCTCTTCGTCCATCATGAATAGAAACACTTCCAAGGGTTATGAAATTCAAAAAGGACATTATTCTAATCTGGGCATACATGTTTTATATATAGGCATGTAGTAAGTCTTACTATTAAACTTTTTATTTAAAATGGGGATACAGGGCGCCCGGGTGGCTCAGTGGGTTAAGCCGCTGCCTTCGGCTCAGGTCATGATCTCAGGGTCCTGGGATCGAGTCCCGCATCGGGCTCTCTGCTCAGCAGGGAGCCTGCTTCCCTTCCTCTCTCTCTGCCTGCCTCTCTGCCTACTTGTGATCTCTGTCTGTCAAATAAATAAATAAAACAAAAAATCTTTAAAATAAAAAAAATAAATAAAATAAAAATAAAATAAAATAAAATGGGGATACAAAAAGCCCATTCATTAACTGAGAGGGAACTGACAATTAATAGATAAGGTGAGTTAAAAATATAAAACACGACCCCAAGCCATTTAGACAAACTAAAGTGGAAATACATCCATAAAGGAAATGAACTGACCAGAGAGGGTAAGAACAAAGAGTTCACATAACTGCATAAAAAGGAACTGCTTAAAAAACATCTCCCAGACAAGCAATGCAAAACACTAATTTCCAGTTTCAAATGTCTTCTAAATTATCATTTCTAGCTTTATTGTGATGTAATTGACACAGCTTAGATATTATGAACTCTTGACACTAAATAGTGTCATGTGCGTTCAGACGGGTTGCATCTGTTGTTGGTCATTATTATAGGATACTAGTATAATACTAATTCCCAATTAGCATTTGGTACTAACAGTAACACTGTTCTCAGTGCATTAATGCCCCAGAGCCTGTCTTCTGCTATAGGACTGACTGCAAACGATTTGTCCACTATGTGCTCTCAAACCATCCTTGTCATCACAAGGAAACACTTTCACCAAATCTAAACCAACGGGCCTTGGTTTAACTGACAAACCTACTTAACTCATGTATGGTGGGCCCTAAACCTCAAAAAATGTTTGAAATAATTAAGCAACAACCTTTGCAGCTAGGCAAAAACTGCAGGTGAATCATTCTTTTGTGTGAGTTTGATAGCAGGCAAGTCCTGTTTCCTTCTGGTTCACAAAGGCAAGGGCAGGAAATATACTCCTGGCAATTCTTTTCCCTTCAAATCCATGACTTGGCATTTAAAGTGAAATGAAGTAAGCGCAGGGAGTTACATTTTTCAAATGGCTACTGCCCTCATTGGATCAAAACTGCAGTCACAGACCCAAACAACGGGATAACACCATTGTATGAAGGGGAAATAGGCAAGGAATTGACATTCTTCTGTGCAATGACTTTTATTTTCGTACGTGATTGGCACAGAGCAGTGTCTCCCGGTTATTACTTATTGATGAACATGTTTAGAGAAATCAAGGTGACTGTTTTTATCTCCTAGGGCTTCCATAACAAAGTACCACGAGCAAGGTGGCTTGAAACAAATTTATTTCCCCACAGTTCAGGAGGTGTGAAGTCTAAAATCAAGGTGTCAGCTGGGCCGGGCTCCCTCTGAAGGGGCTCTAGGGAGAGATCTTTCCTCACCCTTCCTAGCTTCTGGTGGTGTCTGGCAGTCCTTGGGGGGCCTGGGCATGTACCTGCCTGACTCTGATCTGCCTCTGTTGTCACTTGGCCTTCTCCGTGTCTCTCTGGGTTCTCTTCTTGTAAGGTTGCCAACCATATTGGATTAGGAACCGAATAAACTCATCTTAACTCAGTTATATTGGTAAAGACCCTATTTCCAAATAAGATCACATTTACGGGCACTGGGGGTTAAGACAATGATGACATCTTTTGAGGGTGCACAACTCAACCCATAATTATGTGTGTCTAATATGGGATCTTCCAAACTAACGACAATGGTTTTACTCAAGGCTCAGGGCTCAGCAACCCCTGAATTTCAAGGGGCACCATGATCTTTTTAAAACTCAAATCTGGCCATTTTATATTTCTGCCCAAAGTTCTTCGGAGGCTAACACTGCAACTCCTCCACATGGCTTGATCTGGTGCAAATCTACCCCCCGGGGGCCCCGCCTTTCCTTATGCCTTCCCTTCTTGCAGCCATATTAACTCTGCGCTTTCTGGAATACACCAAGATCTCTCGTGCCTTTTGCCTTTGCACATCTGCTCTTCTACCTGAAACACACCCAACCTTCTCAGAGCGAATTCATCCTCATTCCTCAAGTTTCATCTTCAGACCCTCCCGCCCCCACCCAATGAGACCATGCCTGACTTCCCTGCGCAGTCCTCAGAGCCCCCTTGTGCCACTGGAAGAGGGTTAGGACAGGGTGTAGGCAGAAAACTGAATATAGGCTCCACAGCTTAGTAGTTGCTACCGTGGACTAGTTACTTAACCTCTCTGTGCCTGTGCCTCTGGTAAGGCGGATATGAAGAGTACCGCTTGAGGGGCAGCACATGATTGAGATGAATTCAATGTGATGCGCTCACGGCAGTGACCGCCATGGGCTAGGTTTATCTGAGGACAGGGGCTGTATTTTTCCTTTGTGCTTTCCCAGCCAAAATACTGTCTGACATTCAAACATTTGTGGCATAAAATTCAGAGGTTCCAAGCTGAAGAAAGGAAGTCCAGGAAGACTTGTAAGGGCCTTCAGAGAGATGAAGGAGTGAGGAGGGAAGAAAGAAGAAATGCAGTCACCATCTAGGAGGGACAAACTGTTTGTGCAGAGTAGTATCCCCAGGGGCCTGGATGCCGAGCTCAGTAAATATATGTTGAATGAGGGGAAATCGAGGGCATAAAATCAGTAGTGGAACACTGTATTTTTTTCCTTTTTAAACATCCAAATACAAAAATTATAGAAGGGATATCATATGCTGCTTATGGTATATACAGTGCTCAAATTTAGAGAAAGCTCAAGTTTGCAAACCAAGATGTCCAAGGAATCTCTCCATGATGGAAACCCATTTCCCATTTAAAGACAGGACAATTAAGGTGTGTTATTTTATATATCAGTCTTCTGTGTTCTTCAGAACCTAAGAAATATTGCATTGTTAGTATATGCAGGTTTAAAGTGTGGGAAATCTATTTGTTTCTATATGAAATGTATTACATCAAGAAATATTACTACCACTTTTCTTTTCTACCACCTTTTACTCATGTTTCCCATATCTGAGTCACACAAACACAGAACATATTTGAAATAGGCGCTCTGAATGCCAAGTAACTTACTCTGAAAATATTAGTTCCTAAAAAATGATCAAAATCAAGCCCTGTCAATGTTTAGGAGGCAAGGTTAGTATAATATTATGAAAGAGATTTGTGTTTTGCTTAAATGACTCTTAAACACAAATTTCTAAAAAAAAAAAATACATTTTCAAATCTGTAAAGCTTGTTCCCCATTTATTTTTTGTTGTGATTCAGAAATACAAGATATGAAAATTAGGTTACAATTTTGCCACAAAAGCATCTAAAGTAGCAAACACAAGTTCTAATATATATCAAAATAGCCAAGTGCATTCTTACAGCTTAAAAATGTCTTTAGAGTTGTCCCATCAAGCAAGTGTAAAATATAATAGCTATTATCTCCTCTTCAAAATATCAAATCTGCCGTCATTGCGCTGAACTAAACAAGATTTAGTCCAGAGTATGGAAGGTTATGGTTAGTGTACTTTTTAAAGCTGAGTTACTAAGAACTAAGGACATGAGAAAGATACAAAGCATCGTATGTCAAAAACTATGAATATTTAAAAGTGTCCTCATGTGAGTGAGACATGTTTAAATTAGAACATGAGGTAATAAAATTAAATCTGTTGATGATAAAACTCAGTAAAAAAAAAATTATCATGGTATTGCCTTCTTCCAGAAAGACAAAGACATACAATTCTTCAAATTGAAGCTACTATTTCCAAAATGCTTTTATCATCTAAATATTAGAAATGCACTCCCAAAGTTCGCTTCTAAGAATCAGTGATATGGTTTAACCAGCAAATTTCTAACTGAACACATGTAAGTATTAATGCAAAGAGGCCATTATTGACAGTATTTTTCATTTTTTCTCTTTTCAGCTGTGAAAATTAAATTTTAAAAAATAACAGAAAAGAACAATTTCCTGGACTTTGTTTTTGTAAAAAGAAATGGGGGTTATATCTTATATCTTTTTTAATTATAGAGGGTCCTTGAACATATTTTGGAATTTCTACAGATGAACGACATTCAACATTTTTTTTAAATAAATATACTCACAAATATACTATAATAAAACAGTAAAACCAAGCCCAGCAGAGGCAACCACTTCGGAACCAACACACACAGTAAACAGTAGCTGGTCACAAACAGAAAGCCAACACTTCAACAGCATTGGAATCAAACTCCTTCTGCCACAGGTAAGACACACCCACTTCTGGGTACAGTACAGTGTTGAATCAATGACCCCTTTAAAAAAAAGAAAAAGAAAAAGAAAAAAGAAATGGCAACAGTTTCCTGAACAATCTGACTCAGGGGGTTTTGTGTGTGTGTGCATTGTTGTTGGTGTTGTTTTTAATTCCCCTGAGCAGGCAAAAAAAAAAAAAAAAAAGACAAGTCAGTATAAAAAATGTACAAAAACTGAGCCAAAAAAGATAAAAAATAGAATTTGCCTTTGTAATATTTTCATGTTTTGGATGAAGTCAGATCTTTGTGTGACACTGCTAAATGTCCATAATCCTATATCCAAACTGTTCGGGCCAGACTCATTTCAGAATTCTTAATTTTTTAGATTTGGAAAAAGGTGATGTGGGGCATATGCTGGATGTTACAAAACGTGTCTGTAGAATCTAGGGCAATACCTAGAATCAAACTCATTGTTGTTTCTTTGGGAAAAATTAATGAAGAGTCCATAAAATGGATAAATCAAAACTCTAACAATCAGTTCAAGTCAGGTTTTGCTATCAAATGAATAATGGCATCAAGTTTAGGAAAAGAAGGGGAAAAAAACCCCAAAAACTTAGTTTTCAAAGCTTTTTGGATACAGAGCTTTGGCCCTTTAACTTGTCTGACAAAGAAGCCCATTCCTTGATGATATGATCGCCACAAAATCTGCTCTCATGCCCAAGCTACAACAGGTTTGAGGAAAGGATCTCCCACCACAGAATGGGGGCTCTTAAATTTGTTCAGGGAGCAGATTACCTGGAGGTGACAGTACAGGCTACGAGGAAACCTTGAAAACGCCTACGGAAGTAACTGTGGTCCAATAATCGTACTAAACGAGACACCATCTTGGGCTAGATTTTCATCTGGACCAGCAGTTGGAGGTGCCAACAAGGAACATTCACCAGAAAAAATAAAAGTGAGAAATAGCCAGACATTAATGTGTAACTGTTTTCTGCGAATTACGGAAATAGAGCCATTATTCTACCTTAAGAGGCTGCGAGGTATGACCTAATGTAGTTTGCAAACGATGGCTACAGAAGACAGAGAGATTCATGAAACTGTTATGGCATCCACCCACCCCCACAAACTGCAATGAAGTCATTCCAAGCAACTTCTATATTAAATAATTTCTTCGATCTTTGTCAGTGTTAAAATATGCCATTCTCAGATCCTCATTAAAAGGATGCCAAGGATTAAAGCCATTAAATATCTCACTTAAAAAAAAATAAGTCATCTTAAAGTCAAGAGGTTCAAAAATTCAAGAGCAAAAGAAGGTTTGCTGTAATTTTTAGGCCTTTAATCTTTTGTATGCACAGTATATGCATACTGTGTGTGCAGGAAGGAGGGGGCGTAGCATTACGTAGCATTACGATGAAGGGGACTGTTCACTGTGTGTGGAGCACACACAGTGACAGGAAGAAGTAGGGAATGTTGGCCAAAACCCATGAGAGGCACTTATTGTGGAAATCCACAAACTGAGCAACAGAGCCTGTGATGTGAAAACAACATTCACGGGGCCGAGAGGATCCCAGGGCTTATGTTGCGGGAGTGATGATTGGGCTTCCTTAACGTGGTGTGCAGAGAAGGTTCTCTGATTAAATGGGAGTCACAGAAAGAATGGGTGATCATTTTCTTTCAAAAATGAGTATCTTCAAAATCGGCTTTGTCCTATCTTCTTTCTCTTAATGAGCAAAATGCAAATATACGATCATCAGCCTTTCGTAAAAGCTACATATATGCTACCAGAAGAATGTCACGCTTTTTAATTTTTTTCACCTGTTTTAATTAATTCATGAGTTAATTTAAAAAGTCAAGTCAAAAAATTTTAACTAGTCTTTTTTTTTATATATAAAAATATTATAGCAGTATCAGGAAAACAGGAGGGAGAGACGGGAAGAATGACAAGACACTCTAATGGGATGGGTGAGCTCCGCGTCCTCATGGCTGTTGAAGAAATTGTAAACTTTTAAGCTTCTAAGATTTTATTTCTCTTCAGAAAACATTTTAGGAGGCTGCCTTTCCCCGTGAATGAAAAACAAAAAGTGCTCTACGCATTTGAGTCTAAAGAAGACAAGAAATCACTATTTTTCCTACTGGAAAACGCTCTCTCCTGCCCTTCCCCTGCATTGTTCTCTCTCATCCCCCTGTATTTTTATGGGATCAAAGAGAGAGAGAAGCCACGAGTGGCCACCAGAAGACAGTGAGTCAGGGACATCATCACACACTCAGACTTGCCCACAATGTGTAAAACTCCTCTTGAATAAAATACACCATGTTAAAAAGACCAAAGGGGGAAAAAAAAAGCCCCAGAAACCTATAAACTGCCTATTGTGGAAGGTTAAAAAAAGTGCCCAAAGCTGCATCTTATATATCATAAGGTACATTTCTGGACTTAATCTCAATAGAGGGGGGGAGAAAAAAGAATAAATAGACACATGTAAATGATCGTTCTGGAATCAAGGTCTCCACCCTGCTCACATGCTGTTCGTTCCCATAGGGTCCTCACCTCCCCGCCCCGAGAACCACGGGTCTCCTGCTCCGTATTTGCATAGTGTTAATAACATCACCCGAGCCGCACGCCTCTCCCCTCGCCCACAGCCAGGTTTCTGAAGAGCACTGGTCCGATCTCACATATTCAAAAGCGATACATACGTGTCTGTAGGCCAAAAACTGGGTCCCTTTTAGCAGCAAGCTGTTCGGTTATTTAGAAACAGTCTTTTCCCCAGGGGTACGGATTAGGCAGTTTTGTCTGCAATTTCCGATTTTGCTCTCTGCGTCATGCAGCGACGCACGATGCTGTCGAAGCTTCCGAGGTAAAACAGCGCGATGGTGCGGAAAAGGCCCATGGTGACCACCTGCGAGACACAGAGAGACCCCGAGCTCGTCCCACAGCACAGGGCCGCACCTCACCTCAGCGGGTTTCAAGGTCCTCTCCCATAAAGAGTTTCGAAGACATGTCTTCTAATCTGCTCCAAGGATGACGAAAACTCCCGAACTGGGGCGCCTGGGTGGCTCCGTGGGTTATATTTCTGCCTTTGGCTCAGGTCATATCTCAGGGTCCTGGGATCGAGTCCCATGTCCCCCGAGTCGGACTCCCTACTCAGCCGGGAATCTGCTTCTCCCTCTCCCACGGCCCCTCCTCCCTGCCCTCTCTCTTCTTTCTCTCTCAAATAAATAAAATCTTTAAAATAAAATAAAATAACTCTGTAAGCATCAGGAGAGCACAGAGGACAGAAGCTGTCCACTTGCGCCCCTGGACGGCATGTGCCTGTCAAAGTTATAACAGCCGAATGTTTGCCCAATTCATAAATTCAAATTATACAAAAACCAAATTAGGTATTCTTAGCAGTCCTTGGGTTCTAATAGCTAGAGAATATCCACTCCGGCATCCCCAATACCCAAACTGTCATCAAGGCTTTCTGATTTAAGACTTATGTCCTGGGGGCACCTGGGTGGCTCAGTGGGTTAAAGCCTCTACCTTCGGCTCAGGTCATGATCCCAGGATCCTGGGATCGAGCCCCGCATCGGGCTCTCTGGGCAGCGGGGAGCCTGCTTACCCCCCTCTCTCTCTGCCTGCTTCTCTGTCTACTTGTGATCTGTCTGTCAAATAAATAAAATCTTTAAAAAAAAAAAAAAGACTTATGTTCTGAACAGAAAAGTCAGACCCTATTCTAAGTGCTACCACCATAGCGAGAAAGACACAGGCCTGCCTTCCACAAGCTTCTTTGATAATTAGAAAGACGACCAACTGGGGGAGGACAATTACTGCATTAGGCAGAAACAGGGGATGTCCATTAACCATCAGGATTCCTGTCCACACATTCTCACGGCAACACCTCTGACTGGAATTTTTTTCCAGACACAGAACTACAAAGAAAAGCATTTTCAAATACACTAGTTCTCAAATGTTGCCTCCCGTGGGCCCTTTTTCAGAAAAGCACTAGAAGACTAAAAAAGCCACATTGAGGGGTCAATGAAGAAAGGGAACGTCATGTGACACAGGAGGCAGGGGACCCCCAAAGCAGATGACAGGCAGAGAGGACCCCAGACATGGGACAGTGTGTCCTGACGGGTAGCTCAGAAGGCTCCAGGAAGGATTGCTTCCAGAAGCGAAAACTGATAGAATGTCTGATATTTCTGAGGAAATGAAGACTGTCATTATTAATACATAGAAAAAAGCCAGTAACAGTTTCAGGGAAAACAAAAGGTTATACAAGAAAGGAAAATTAATTATGTATAATACGGAGTTCAGCTGTGAAGAGCACTGACATAGCTGTAACAACGATAATCTCAAATACAGATCTGACCAGAATCATAATATAAGTAAAAAGGGAGGATGGGAACGGAGGAGAGGCGGCTGTAAGCAGAAGGGAGAGGGCGTGAGGAAGAGCTAAATCCTCCTCTTTCTTGGTGGAAGCCCATGCCTGACCCCAAGCTGAGAAATCCGTGGAGGCGGCCACGTAAGTCTACACTCTGGGCGTACTCTAGATGGACACGTGGAGGCCCAGGCCACAGAACAGTGTGGCTATGTCTGAGAAGGCCAAAGGGGGGCCACTGTTGTTCCCACAGAGTTTGAAAACACCGGTTCTCTGAAGGGTGTGTAAAGATAACTTTGAAAAATGAAAGAACCAAAGGGAAGCTGGAAAAAGGCAGAACGACAAGGACAGTGACGAGATCAGTGATTGCCAGGGGTTCAGGAGGAGGAGGGAAGGATGACCAGGAGGAGCACGGGTGAATGTGTGGGCTGGGGAAAGACTCCATGTTATACAGGGTGACGGTGGACATGTGGCACCAGACGTCCATGGCGTGTACACTTGTCAAAACCCGTAAGAAGGTCATGTGATACCAAGAGTAAACCCTAATGTAAACCATGGACTTCCATTAATAATGACGTCTGCCTACTGGCTCATCACCTGTGCCGATGTGCCATGCTAATGCAAGATGCTAGTAACGGGGGAGTCTGTGGGCACAGGAAGAGGGGGTGTATGGGAACTCCATAATTTCAACTCAAATTTCCTATCAACATAAAACTGCCCTGAAAAATAAAGTCTATTATTTAAAAACAAAAGAAAGAAAGAAAGGAAAAAAATCAAGAAAAAGCAGTGAGAACACAGCACACCAAAATGCTAAAATAGCTAAGTCTAAGGAATTGAACAGTCTTGGAGTTTTCTGGAAAAAGCAACGCTTAACGTGAGACCTGAAGGAAGACCAGAAGTTGGTCAGACAGAGGAAGGCTGGGGATGGAGGCAGAGACACAAAGTCATGGGAAGAGGAGAAGGGGCAGGAAGATGAGCAAGGTCGAAGGTCAGAGGGCTATGCCATGTGATGGAGTGGAAGCTTTACGTCAGTGGGCCTGGGGGGCTGCCAAGGGCTGCCCTGCAGGGTGGGTTATACAGTTTGGAAAAATGGGCATGGAACTGTGAGGGCTCTCAGATGCACCCAGGACTGGGGCAGGGTACTATAAGGCCACTGGGAGGGGGGCCATGTCCCGTACAACAGGAGTGGCTGCCACCTGCCCCCACAATTACTGCCAGGGGAGAATGCGGACCGTGTGCTGTTGGGCCTTCTGATTTTCCACAAAACATCTGAAATCTGGACTTTTCATGGACAATCTAATTTTAAAACCATTTTATGTCAACCTGCACACTTATGTACCAGATGAACCACATGAAACATTTTATGGGCCCATACCCTCCCAGGTGACCCCTCTGACTCAGAGCGTGAGACCCAGGCGGGGAGCTGACTGCAGTGTCCCGGGCCTGAACCAGGGGAGCAGCAGCGGGGCTGGGAAAGCAGGAGAGTCAGAGGAGAGACAGACCTGACCCCTCACGTGAGGGGCAGGATGGGGTCCAGGATGACACCGCTTCCTCGTCAAGCTCTTGAGTGAACATGAACATGGACCCCGATCACAGAGGCAGTACAGACTCGGTGATGGGGAGGTGGGGGCGGGATGCTGGGGAACACAGCTTCACTGCAGGCATGCGGAAGTGGGGATGGGAGGTCGCAGCCCAGAGAAAACACCTCAGAGAAATTTATACAGAACTGCAGCGGACGGAACAGCTATGGGCTGAAGTTTTCTGTCAGGCGTCACGCATGTGGAAGTAGGAGAGGGGACAAGATGGCCACACAGAACGTGCTGACCTGAGGTTCCCACTATGTGCCAGGCATGGGCTGTAAGGGGCTGCCCTCGGAGAGCTTACACGGAACACAGCGTCTACCTCTAAGAGAGAGTTGACATAGTCATGGAAGAGAAGAGTGGAGAAAGCCCACACCCAAGTCCTTCGCGTTTTTAGTCTGGCCTACCACACAAAGCTCAGTACTTGGTCATAAACTACCCAACAGTGCGGGCAGCCCCCTTCCAGGCAGCCGCCCAGCCCTCCGCCCAAGCTCCGCCATCCCTCATCGGGGCCGTGCAGAGCCAGCCCTCTGGGACAGCTCTTGTCCTGTCACACTGCATTCGTATCACCTCGGCCCGTCGCTCCCACGAGACCATGAGCCCGGAGGCTGCAGAGGCTGCGCTCCTGAGTCTGCAGCAGCTGACACGGCACCGGGCGCACCGAGCGGCTCACTTCTCTGTGGCTGGATGAGCCAGAGCGTGGGTGAGAGGACGGTCTGCGGTGAATCCTTGACTTGTACCTCCCTGAGCACGGCTGCCTCTGACCTGACTCCCCTGGAAGGGGGGTTCTGGTCTGATGCCCGGTACCCTACATCACTCTACCGCAAACACCTGCAGTTCTCACAAGAGAACCCGAGTGAACGTCCTGAGAGCAGAGACGGCATACCCCTCTACATCCACGGGGCCAGAGCACAGAACACTTCTCCCCTCTCTGAACCCCTCAGCTGCTGTCCTTCACTATGTCCTACTTTCTCATCACTGCCACAGCAAGAGAATCAACTTCACACCCACAGATAAAGTTGCAAGTCTTCGTTAGCCTTTTCTCACTGGGTTTTAATGAGAGGCACTGTGTGTCTGTCTGTCCGTCTGCCTGGTTACAAGCACAGCTCACCTGCTGGAGCCCTTCAGTGATAGAAGTTACCGGAGCCATTCCACAGGTCAGGGACGACAGCATGTACCCGTCGGAGCCAATGGAACTGTTAAAATTCCCTTGCTGAAAGAGAAGGAGGAGAAAAGAGGCAACAGTAATAACCAGGAAAGGAATCAGCACCTCAGAGACCACGAAGTGTGTGGGACGCCTGAGTGGCTCAGGCAGTCGGACGTCCAACTTCCGATCTGAGCTCAGGTCAGGATCTCAGGGTCGTGAGCCTGAGCCCCGCGTGGGGCGAAACGCTGGGAGAGGAACCCGCTTAAGGTTCTCTCTCTCCCTCTCCCTCTGCCTCGCCCCTGCTTGCTTGCATCAGAGCACACCTGCACTCTCTCTATCTCTCTCTCAAAAAAAAATTAAATTAAATTAAATTAAAAAAGCAAAAACAATGAAGTGCGTCCACTTTAGGCGGCATGAGAGGGTAACAGCTATGTCAAAGCTCGTAAACAAATGTGGCCTCAGCCGATGGGCCAGAATGGCTACGCAGGGCATTCTCAAAATGTGGGTCCAAGAACGGCTGGGGGTCCTGAGACCCTTTCAGGGGACCCAGGAGGACAAAATGACTGTCGTAATAATACTAAGACCTTAACTGCCTTTTCACTGGCGTTTGCACTGATGGGCAAAACTGCTGGTTCATTAGCACCCACCACAGTAGCGGCGTCCCTCCACGGCCACACACACGCAGTGATAAGTAAAGGGAAATTTTAAAAAATCTTTCAAAGGTTTTAAAAGGTCAGTTTTGCTTTAAAATGTTCTTGATAGAGCAATAAAATCAATCATTTTATTAAATCTCCACTCTAATGGGCAAGTCTTCTTAATACTCTGGGTGACAAAAAGAGAATACACACCCAGTGCCTTGTACTGGGTTCTGTCCCCAAGGCGGACAGCTGCCCTGCAGGAAGGCCCTCCTCCCACTGTTTAAGTCATGAAACTTAACCCACGGTTATTCAGACTTGGGTATTTGGAAGACATTTTGTGGAAAATGAATCAAATGAGCCTGTCACTTCAAGGAGAACTGGCAGCTTTTATAGTCAGTGTTAAAAATCTGAGCTTTCAAGGAAAAAATTAAGATTTGTGAAAACCTATCTGCCACTGTGAGATTGTCAGCTTTGTAATATGTAGACTTTCATGATCAGACCAACAGTAATATGAATGGATACAATTTTTCTGATAACTCAGTGAACCCATATTTTCCAAATGACTAATGCATAATGTTACAAAATCATGAATGGGTACAAAACATGCAGAGTGCAAAGACCAATGGAATTTAATGTAACAGAGAACAAAACACTTCATTAATGTAGTTTCCAATTCCACACAGTAATTTACCTTTAAGAAACTATTATTCACCCAGTTTGGGTTTAATATCAAAGAAGAATGTCCACAGTTATCTGAAAAGTCCATTAAATATCCCTCCCTTTCCTAACTACATATCTGTCTAAGGGCAGATTTTCTTTATATCCTTCACTCCAAAAAACAGATTACAGCCGACTGAATGTGGAAGCAGCAATGAGAATCCAGCTGTCTTCGATTAACACAAACATTAAAGAGACTGGTGAAATGTAATACAAAGGCACTCTTCTCACTGAAGTTTTGTCTTGGAAAATTACTATTGTAGAAAGATTCCATTAAAGTGTAATAGGTTTACTGTGCCTATTTTAAATGGATTAATAAATAAATATTTTTTTAGATTATGCAGTTCTGGGGCACCAACATGGCTCAGTTGGTTGAGCATCTGCCTTTGGCTCAGGTCATGATCCCGGGGTCCTGGGATCAAGTCCCGCATCAGGGTCCCTGCTCACTGGGGAGCCTGCTTCTCCCTCTGCCTCTGCCTGTTGCTCCCCCTGCTTGTGCTATCTCTCTCTCCCTCAAATAAATATATAAAATCTTAAAAAAAAAGATTATGCAGTTTCAACTTCTCACATGGCAACCATGGATAAACACACACGTGGAAAGACATCTCTGGGCCTGTCACCAGTTTCGTGTGTAAAGTGGTCAAGAAATGAAGTTTGAAAACCACTGGACTAGACGAATCCTACCGAGATACAAACAGCTACTTCAGATCACTGAAAACCCTGAGTGTGTTTGCTCTGATCTGGGGGAAGCAGGAAACACAACCCTCACCAGGACCGTCTTTCTAGGCCTCTGAACACAGGTGGCGCCAGGTGCTTCCAGCGAGTGCGTGTATCTCCCCAGAGCCGGCGTCTCCTGTACCCCACTCAGTCCCCGCCCGGGCTAAGCAGCACGTGCGGGCCTCACGGCAGCTGCATGGCTCACTGACACCTCATTCCGAGGGTCCTCAAACTTCCCACCTGCAGTGTAGACCTAATGCTCACCGACACCCCTCATTAGTGCATGTTGTGCTAGGGGTAGGCCCAGTGGGCCTGGGCCTTGTCAGTGAACATTTGCAAAAATGATCCTGGGAAGCAGGAAGGTCAAAGAAAAAAAAATCCTTAATCAACAAGTCCAGCATTTAATAAAGTGCCTAAAACCAATCTCTAACGTTAAGTGCTGTGGGAAAGCAGCAAGAAGGCAGCGGGCCCCCGACAGGATCTAGGACACACCATTTACGCGCACAGGGAAGTCTTGTGTTCTTCTGAGAGAAGAGTAGTTCCCCGGCATCCTTAGTCATCGATCTGTTCCTAAGGTTAAATGTATAATTAGTTTCTAGGAGCCTCCAAATCAACATGGAATCAATAAAGTATCTCAGGGAAGAAGACCAGAGTCCAACATTACCTCTGAAGCGGACCAGAAAGACACAGTAATTTATGTTGTGAAATAAGCCCTGGCACAAACACAGTATTTCTTTTCAGAAATCTAGTGCTATAACCATTAAGAAAGAAAACAAGAATTGTACTTACTATGGCGTCTTTAACAATTTGTTTGGCCACTTGCTCTGGTTTGCAAACAGATACGGTCTCTGAAATCAGGCGAGTCTCCAAAGGCTAAATGGGGAAAAAAGGACAGGCTTATCAATCACGTTACCACCCATTAAATTCAAGAACAAATAATTCTTACAACCGTCTCTCCCCTACTTCATAAAGAATTCCAGCTTTCTACCTTTGAGCAGATTCCTACTCGAATCAGGTAAGTCTGGATTCTACATCAGTTTCTACCTGGTCTCTGCGTAAAATTCACCCCGGTGGCTGGAGTGAAACAAGGAGGCCCTTGCCACTCTCCGTGGGACAATGTGTGGTCTCAGCTCCAGCGATGACCAGCAAAGCCGGCATGAGACCACGTCACTGGTGCAAGGCTGGGGGCATCCTCAACTCCCAGGCAGACACCTGCGCGCCAGTGTTTACACAGAGCCTGGACCATGCGCCCTCAGCAAGTCTGCCTTATGACCAGCATCACCACTGCCACCACATTCCGGGCCAGCAAAGGACTGACATGTGGACGGAGCTGAGGCCCTGGGCAGAGCGAGCCCCAGCCCAGCCCCTGTTCAACAACACAGCTGTGTCTTAAAAGACCTGCAGAGGAGGTAACAAGGAGATGGGACAGAAAACATCAAGGGCCCTCGGGCATGGCTGGGGGTTCATTTATCGGACGGCTATATCAGAACCCCAAATCCGAGGTGGTGAAAGGCAGCCACCTAGTTCAAAAGTCTTTCCTGAATTCTTACCTGAATTCTTTGTCCTCTCATCTCTGCATATTTCTGCCTTAATAGATATTACAGCTACAAGTGTATTTGCGCTTTACCTCCTAAGTTCCTTGTGGACAAGGTCTTTCTTTTCTTTTTTTTTTTCTTTGTAAAATCTTCTTTACAGTGACACGAACATGTGCTCAGAAATTCTTTAAAAGGGAGTTTCAATTAGGCGTTTGAAAACTAAAGCCTTAAATGGCAGGAAACTGTAACTTTTATTTACCATATAGGCTTGAGAATATTAAAATAAAAGCACAGGATGTATTTTATTAAATTAGAAAAGCACAGCACTTCATAAAAGTCAAATATTTCTTGATGAACCTGAATTCAAAGAAGGGCTCTTCTGAAAGGGCCTGTCCCTTCTTCCAGACCAGTCTGGCACAACGCGGCCACACACGCATTAGATTTAAAAGCACTATGGTGCCCCCTAAAGGGCTTACACACCAACACACGGTTTGATTTATCCGGAGAAGTCTGCTCAACACTACAGCTAGAGGGAAAAAACCCAACTTAACATCAAAATCCAGTCTTCACAGGGAAATCACCACTCCTAGTCAGCTTTGGCTTCCAACGAAAAAGACTGTTACCAAATGTTGCAAATCTGTTTAGCAGACCCCTGCTTATACTAACACAGGGCACTTGGCTTAAATTTACTTCTTTGAAATAGTTGTAATCTAAGAGGCAGAGCCAAAGAGAAATGAAAAGGGAAAAAAACTTCTAAATCGTAGACATTTCTTTGCAAATAGTCTATGGCGCATAAGTGCCAATTTTTATGCCGCAGAGCCTCACACTTACTAAGCATTGGTTTAAAGGAGAAGAAAACCAATCCACGCCCATTCAAGGCAGTAAGTTCTGATCCATTCCCTTCTTCTCCACTCGCTTCCTCTACTCGCAGGGTGCTTACAGCACATCAAGGCTAAAGAAGAGGCTCCTTTGAACAAAGTGCGAAGTTTGCATTCAGCTCAGCAGGACTGTCGTTGCATATAACGTAAATGTCCAGTGGCAATAAGCATTATAAAGAAAAATAAAGCCAGAGGAAAGGACGGTGAATATTCCAAGGGAGTGACCTTTGAGATACAGAGGGTCAGGGAAGGCCTCTCAGGGTGAAGTCTGTACAGAGAGAGAAAGAAGCAAGGGGGGACGCCCTGGTGGCTCAGTTGTTAAGCATCCACTTCGGCTCAGGTTATGATCCTGGGGTCCTGGGATCGAGTCCCACATCAGGCTCCCTGCTCAGCAGGAAGCCTGAAGCCTGCTTCTCCCTCTCCCACTTCCCCTGCTCTGTTCCCTTTCTCGCTGTGTCTCTGTCAAAAAAATAAATAAAGGGGCTCCTGGGTGGCTCAGTGGGTTAAGCCTCTGCCTTCGGCTCAGGTCATGATCTCAGGGTCCTGGGATCGAGCCCCGCATCGGGCTCTCTGCTCAGCGGGGCGCCTGCTTCCTCCTCTCTCTCTCTGCCTGCTTCTCTGCCTACTTGTGATCTCTGTCAAGTAAATAAATAAAATCTTAAAAAATAAATAAATAAAAAATAAAACCTTTAAAAAAAAATTCAGTTTTATGATGGGGAGTCCCACTAGCCACATTTCAAGTCTTTAAGAGCCACAATGTGACTACCATATTGGAGAGTGCAGACACAGAACATTTCCGTTCTAGAGAATTCTATTAGACTGTGCTGCACAAGAAGGGTCTTTTTGTTTTTGTTTTTGCACAAGAGGGGTTTGAACGAGGGAGTGACAAGACCTGACTTACTCTTTAAAAGGATTACTGGCCCCCGTGTGAAGAACAGATGGGGATGGGAGGGAGGGGAGCAGAAGAGGCTAGTCCTGATAATCGCAGTTTTGTTTTGTTTTGTTTTGCTTTGCTTTTAAGAAAGGTCCAATTCAGGATAAGTTCTAAGAGGAGAGCCAAGAGGATGTGTGGTCAAGCAGGTGAGTGGTGTGGGAGAAGAACCAAGGCTGGCTTCTTAGTTACTGGCCTGAGCACTGGGCGGACACTGGGCGCCAGGCAAGGAGCTGAGAAGTTAATGAGGGAAAATGAGGGAATCCTAAGATCCGTTTCTGAAATGCTAAGTCAGGATCGGCAACCAGGTGTTAAGTTCAGAGGAGAGAATATTATTGTTAAAGAATATCATCTCGTTAGTTAAAAATACAGGCCATACTCAACCTCACAAAGAAAATACCTTATTAATTAAGTAAGCCCTTGAAGATTATTAGCAAAAGTCATGGCCTTGGGAAATACAGGCTGTGTTCTCTAAGACCCTACATGGAAGGTCCAGAAAGTCCAGACACGTCTACTTAGCACATTAGTTGAAAAGAACTCAATTTTTTTTTAAAGATTTTATTTATTTATTTGACAGACAGAGATCACAAGTAGGTGGAGAGGCAGGCAGAGAGAGAGGGGGAAGCAGGCTCGCCGCTGAGCAGAGAGCCCGATGTGGGGCTCGATCCCAGGACCCTGGGATCATGACCTGAGCCGAAGGCAGAGGCTTTAACCCACTGAGCCACCCAGGCGCCCCAAGAACTCAATTTTCTGACTGATGAAAATGACTCCAGGCTGATGGGCGGAAAGTCAGAAAATTGGGAAAGGGGTTTACAGCATCAAAACAGACACCAGCAAACACTTACCTTGGTTTTGTTTTCTTCTGCAAACCCAGGGGTGTCTGTGTCTGGCGGGTAGGCAACTGTGACATAGACGTTGTATGGCTTCACCTGCATTTCAGAAACGAAACGTGCCCCTTCAGTAAACAAAGTACGATCCCGCCTCTTCCCTTATTTTCCTGCACTGACTGCCAGGGGCACACGCGACAGATGCTGCCCCGATTCTCTCAGAAGCTGGCAAGACCAGCAGGGTGATTCTGCAGGTGGAGAACCAGCCCTCACAGGGTCCGAAAACTCCGCTCCACGAAGATCATTTAGGAAGAAAGGCAAAAAGCCCACCCCAACAACTTCTACTTCAGAAGGCAGCCGGCCCCGAGGTACAGAGATTCACCTTCTAAGTTTTGCCCACCCCGCGGGCCAGGTGAGGCCCCGGGGGCGGTCCGGGAGGAAGGCCAGCAGCTGAAAGGCAGTCTATCCGCGCCCCTCCCCGACCCTGACAGCACTCGGGCCTTGCATGCCAGCCAGTGGGACGAGTCTGCTCCTCCGCCATCGGACTGCAAATCTGGCTTCCTCCACGGCTGCCTCTGAAACTCTTACTGATTTCATCTACAAAATACATGAAGATCATTCAAAACCCTCTCCCTAGGCCCTTCTCGTGCCACCCAGACTCCAGCTGAGTAGATGGAACCCTGAGACATTGGCCTGATCAAGAACTCCCCAGGCAACCAGCCTCCGCCCACGAGGGCATCAGAAGTTACTCTGCCCCCCCCCCACCCAGAACCGGCCAACAGGATTCTCCCCCCTGGTGAGTCCTGGGCCAGACGGGCCAAGCACCTCTCTGAAGGCCACCTCATCCTTACTTAGATGCAGAAACTCCTTCCCCAGCTTAACGCGGGCTCTTAGGCTTGTTTACCTCACCACCAGGCCTCCACTGAAATTCTCTACTCATCAACACGCCCCGAACAAGAAGACTCCAGAAGATTCTCCCACTAGTCAGCCAGGCCACACCCTCCCAAAGATCCTGCCCATCAGCGGCCCTGCTCCACGCTCTCATCTGGCCCCGATTCTTAATGGCTCGAAGGGCGACAGCTCATACCATCAAAACTGCTACCCCTCGACGCACTGTCGGCTCACTGCTCGGCCCCAGGACGACACCGAGGGGAGCTGAGAGCGGACAGGCAGCTGGTGGTGGGGAGGCCCCCACGTATCTCAAGGGGGCTGAGGAATGACAAGACCGCTTCCTCACACAACAGCCTCTCAGAGCATCCCAGGGCCCCATCTTTTCACATGGGCCTTTTTCTCCTGGGCTCTCTCCGTGAGGCGGCGTTCTAAGCCTGAGGGAGGAGCTGGAAGGGTCGGGAGAAGCATGGAGGCAGCAGATCCTGGCCGGCCACCCTGACGAGCACGCCAGCCGAGGGTGATGTCTCTGCTGGCCGAGCTCCAGCGCACCGGGGCCGTGAGAGAGCTCGTTCGCTCGGCACGGACGGGGCGCGCGGCTTCAAGGCCCAGCTACGCTCATAAATAGCTCTGGATCCAGGCCAGGCAGTGAGGTTGATGAGCAAGCGATTTCTCTTCCACTTGTTTTTGAGACAGTGACTTTAAAATCTGTCTCCCACGGCCTTGCCCTCTGTGGTGCACAGACCAGACAAAAATACCCCCCAAAAAGCCGAGAGGCGGTAACCGGTCCCTAGGAAGCCTGAGGCCGACTCTGCTGGGACACGGTCGTTTCTCCGCTGCTTCTGTGCCCCTTCCTCCTGCGACACATAAGGACTGTGGCCTAAGCTAATAGGAGACAGTTCATCAAAACCGTGTTTCTCAAATCCAAGGTTACGGCTGAGCTGCCGAAGGGCTGAAACGGCCCTCCAGAACAGCTTCATCCCGGGGTGGGCACAGATTGTCAGGGCTGGGAGAAACCAGTCCCACCCCTTTCCGGGAGCTGCTGTCATCCCTACCATCATGAAGCACAATGACTCTCTCCACCCACGGCTGAATACATCCAGTGGCTAATCACCCAATCGTTTTATTTCTCCATCCAACACACTTGTATTGAGCGCCTACTGTGTGCCAGTATTGACCTACGAATGAGGATACGATGTCAGCAACTCAGAGTCTCCGCCCTTGTGGAGCTTACGGTCTCCCAAAGCTCTGGGTCAAATAATTGGTAAAAATCAAAATATACCAAACTATATCATCACTTTCCTTTAATCAACTAACCCCATAACCCCAGCAGAAAAGGAAAGGCGATTAATTTGGCTTCACGTGTTCTTGCTAAGACAATGCTGACTCCCAGAGATCACCACTTTCTCTAAAAATTAATAGGCCGGGACCTCACTGGCTGATTCCCCTGCTTACCTTACCACTGTGCGTTTGCCCTCATTCCCACTGACTGACCATTCTCTGTCCTCCCACTCTGCCCCTACCCTCCCTTTATCGGTTTCTTCCTCCTCCCTGGTCTCCATTTCAACGAGAAGGCCAACCCTCTGCTTGAGAACCAATTTATCATCAAAATAATCCCACCTAAAATGTGTAGCTCCTAATTCCAGCGAAACGAAGGGCGGGGGGCTGGAGAGAGGAGCAGAGCTGTGGAGGGAAAGTTCCAGAAGGTCAGCTTCAGCTTCCTTTTCACACTGTGGGAAAAGATGGCCTTGGAGGGAAGCTTTTACCTGGTCTCTGCTACTACATCTTTGGCTGTGACCAATGTCAGGGGCGCCTGGGTGGCTCAGTTGGCTAAGCATCTGCCTTCAGCTCAGGTCATGATATCAGGGTGCTGGGATCAAGTCCCACATCGGGCTCCCTGCTCAGTGGGGAGCCTGCCTTTCCCTCTACCTCTGTGCTCTCTCTCTCTAATAAATAAAATCTTTAAAAAAAAAAATCTACTTTCCAAAAAAATTACCTTTTAGAATCTTTAAATCCTATATTTATACCTGAAAGACTGAGTTAAAGAAAAAAAAGAAAGACCAAAAAAATGCAACAAAGCATTCTTTCAAACTTATTCATTGTACACAAAACATTTCTAGGGTCCTACTTTAGTTTGTGGGCAAAGGGTGGGGTGGACAGGAAGGCTTAAGAGTTAATTAAACCAGAAAGGATTATCAAAAAGTACTTAGAGACTGAGAAATTCTATATAAGGTCTGTTTTGTGCACAGAAAACACAACCACCCTGGCAAAGTCAATGGAATTAGCCAGGTTTCCAAAACCAGCACCGTACGTTTGTAGGGAAACAATGGTTTTGATGCAAGTCTGCTATGAATAAAACTGGATTTTGATTATTGAATTTATTTCCCTCATGGTACATGTTAATTTTATTCTGTGTTTACACGGGGACATTTTTCATGGAGTCTAAATATGGACCAAAGTCAAGCAGCCTTCAAGTTCAAACCAGCTATGAGCAGCGTGTGAATCACACTTGTCCCAAAGAGGCTCTGGGGACTCTACTAGCAACTCACTTCCTTTCCCTCTTCTTTAGGAACATCCCATTCTACCCGAAGAGAAACCAGGCCACCCAGATTACACACTTTGCCCTCAATGAGCAAATCCTGGAGAAGCTCTGCAAGACAAGACTTAGGAACAAAAAGCCTTAATAAGCAGATTTTTCATTTCTAAAATAGCCGTTTCCTTAGCAGGTGTCTGAGACCAAAATGAACGGCTGAGACAACTAGCCAGACGAATCTGGCAACTTCTGACCTGAAGTGCAGACATATCAGCTGCCGTGGCAGACGGGCAGAGGACTTCAGCAAGGCTATTTAGTAAATATATAGTATATTATATATATAATATATATATATATATAATATATGAATATATAAATATATAGGCTATATAGTAAAAATAATACTATTTTTATTGCAAAATAATGATGCCACTTTGAGCAATTCCATGAACTACTGAAAATTCCGCATTCTTGTATCTCTAACGTGGCGTAACCACATCTGCCCACATACCTCACAAAACCGTTCTAGAAATCAAGTGGTTATTTGCAAAGGGACTTTAAAGTAAACATTTCAAAAGAAATACTGATATTCTTGTTTTGAAATTTCACAACCACATGGGCCTCATTACCTAAACATTATAATGCCCTATTATTGATTAAGAGTATTAAGCCATTTAATAAAAAGGAAATTGGGGACTGGTTCCGTTTTGATGAACACGGCAGAGTCGATCAGTCCCTAAGAGGCACATCAGGATTGTGTCACTGACTGGACAGCTCATCTGTACTGTGTTTGTCCCACAGCTGGGCAGTGTGGTACTCTGTCACATACCATCAAGGACTCTCCTGGGGATTTTCTAAATCAGGGGTCAGGAAACTATGGCCTGTGGGACAAATCTGGCCCTCCACTTGTTTTTAAAAATAAAGTTTTATTGGCACACAGCCATAACTGTACATTCACCTATCACACATGGCTGCTTTCCTGCTCTCATAGTGGGCTGGAGGGGTTGCAAGAGACACCATCTACCCCTCAAAGGCTAAAATACGTATAAGCTGGCCCTGACAGAAAAAAATTTGCTAACTCCTAATATAAATCAGTAAACACAATCCCCAAATCACACTCTTACTGAAAGAAGGTTGATCGCAATGAATTCTCTTCTGGGTTCTTAACACGATGTGGCGTTATTTTAATCTCTCTCACAAGAGAATTTTACCTTGCCTTTTCAGCGTGTGATTTGGGATGGGTATGTGGCCCCAAGCGTCCCCACTTGACAACAATGCAGAAGTCTGCTTCACACAAGCGAGGTTGTGTGAAGGTTGTCACCTCATGACAAGCACTTATTTTGATGTTAAGCCTCTTTCACAACATGCTCTATTAACTGGGAAAATAAAAAGCACTCACTCTCATCAGTATTTCTTTAAGACAGTAAGATGTAAGAGAGAGAAAGAGCCAAATGATATTTTTAGTCCAACTCTCTTGTTTTTCAGAAAAAGAAGCAGACCAAGTTAAATGATTTGTCTAAATGCCGAGAGCTAGACAGTAGCTGATTTAAGCTTTTCCCTCAAACACATGCTACGTTCATTATTTAGTCATTAAGGACACGTCTTTTTGTTACAGAAACACCGCCAGAGAATAAAATATCTGGTTAACCTGATGCATACTCACACGGAATGAGGCCAAAAATACTGTGTAAACAGTAGTACTTTGTGTATTAAATGAAGCAAGAGAAACACCTCACGCCCGTTTTGCTTCTATCATTATCTTCATGTGATGAAAAACGTTATCTGCAGAACGCAAGGCTTGGGCTGACTGCCCTTCACTGACGTCAAGTCTACAAATGTCTGAGTCGAGGCAACGGCGTGTGTAAAGCGGCTACAAACTAAAGGGGAACACGCGCCGCTGAGCTGGGAGACAGACACGGGAAACTGAGCACAGCGCTTACCTCCATCTGCAAAGCTTCAGCCAATCCCCTGATGGCAAACTTGGAGGACGAGTAGGCCGTGAAGCCGAATAACCCCAGCTGTCCCGCCTGGGAGGAGACAAAGACGATCCTGCCCACGCGGCGCTCCTTCATGGTGGTGATCACGGCGCGGCTGGGGTACACGCTGCCTAGGTAGTTGACGCTCATGAGTCGCTGCAGGGAACAAAGAGCCACGCGGCAGGTGAGCAAGGTCCAAGCCTCAAGGCTGCACTTCGTGCGGGTTCTGTCCGCTCTCCCGGTCTGAGTTCTGCAGCAGAGCCTGAGTGACTGGGAGCCGGCGGATGTGCCGAAGGAAGAAATGAAGCCGTGAGCCTGTAATGAGCCGGGATGCCCGTGACCTGCCCTCTGAAGCCTGTCTCAGTCTGGTCTGCTATTCTCACCATGACCACAGGGATGTCTTTGCTGAAAACCGGTCAGGAGTAGTTTTCTCCTTACCAAAAGTACACTACGTCTTGAAGGTAACACTTTCTGAAAGACAGTCTTAGGAAAAAGCCCCTGAATGTTTCCTACCCTACTAGAAGATCACAGAAAGATCACAAAGAGACTAGGAGAGTGATTAATAGCATAGATTGGTTTGAAGCCTTGGCTTGACCATTTCCTACCTATTTGATGAGGAAGAAAGACATGCTACTTAGTTCTGCAGCTGAACCCAGGACTCACGCTCATACTAGCTCAGAGGGCTGTTGCAAGAATTGGACGAGGAAACACAAGTCAAGGAGAGCTCAGCCCCGGGGCCACAGTGAGTGCCTGACAAGCACTGGCTCTTAGACTATGGTGGGTAAGAGCGCACGCAGGTACCAAGAGTCTATTTTCCTTCGTCCTGGGAACTCTTAAAAGCCTTACATTTTAACTTGGAAGTCTAAAAGTACTTGCATCAAAATGACTCTATATTAAAAGTCCTGGAAAAATACTAGATCTATCAGCCTGTGTAACCAAATACTGCAGAACTCTGAGACAACCACGGAATGTTAACTCTACAGAAGTTATGTAGCTTTTAGAGATGGTGACCAGAAACACCAGGAGGATGGGGAAATAGTTATTCCGCAAGTTTAAAAAAGCAGAGGGCATACAATACTGTATTTACACTGGGACTGTAGCCAATTCAAATATTAAATAAAAGTATGTGCACATAGGTACCAAACACAGGAAGTACAGAAAACGGTAAGTGATTGTGGGGTGCCTGGGAGGTGCAGGCGGTTGAGAGTCTGACTCTTGATTTTGGCCCAGGTCATGATCTCATGGGTCATGATCTCAGCCTCATGACAGGCTCCAGGCTCAGGAGGGAGTCTGCTGGAGATTCTCTCTCTCTTTCAGTCTCCCTCTACCCCTCCCCGAACTCACGTGCGTGCTTTCTCTCCTCTCTCTCCCTAATAAATAAATAAAGGAAATTTGTAAGTGATTGTGTTAGGATGCTGGGATTCCTACCTTTCCCAAAATGTCTTTTGATATCATCACATTACTTTCATAATAAAAATGCTCTAAAAAAGTACTGAAAAAAGAAGGCATGCTGAACCCAAGTGTTAACCTCCACTCCCTTCAGAGACCCCACTAAAATCTTGGTGAAAAGTTAACAATTTTTTTAAACGCCAACAACCCACAGAAGCATAGACAACAGGAAAAGAAAGAACAGCGAGAACATTTTGGAAGCTGAAAAAGAGAATGGTGGGCGACAACGAGCATAGCAGACAGCCGAATGCTAAGCAAGGAACAGAGGAACTGAGAGCGGGCCTGCACAGAGAAGCCCCACAGGCCTGAGCAGCACCAGAAGCACCTCTGGGGGCAGGAGGCGAGGCATGGGGCTAAAACCCAGGTGTATCAGCTAAAAATCTGTTTACTTATTTATTTGTTTTTATTATTTTCTTTTGAGAGAGAGAGAGAGAGAGCATGCGGGCCTGCATGAGTGGAGCGGGGGAGGGGCAGAGGCAGAGGGAGAGAGAGAGAGACTCTCAAGCAGATTCCACACCCAGCTCAGAGCCTGACCCAGGCTCGATCTCAAAACCCTGAGATCATGACCGGAGCCTACATCAAGAGTTGAATGCTTAACCAATTGAGCCACCCTGACGCCCCTAAAAGTCTATTTAAAACATAGACAAATCCACAATTATAATCCAAGATTTCAATACCCCTCCTTCAGTAACTGTAAGAATAAGAGGACACAAAACCAGTCAGGACATGGAAGGCCTGAACAACATTTCAGCCAACCAGACCCAACAGACACTGCTAGAACACTCCGCCCGAAACAGCAGATACATGGTTTTCCCACGTGCACGGCCACAGGAGAGGCTGCATGTGGGGCCAAAAGCAAGTCTCAACAAATCTTAAAGGAGTCAAGTCATACAAGTATGTCCGCTAGCCACAATGGAATTAAATCAGGAATCAGCAAGGAAGTGATTTCTGGAAAATCTCCCAAATATTCAGGAACTAAATAACACACTTTTAGATCATCCAAGGGTCAAAGCAAAAATGAAAAGAGAAATTATAAAGTATCTGTAACTGAACTGAAGTGAAAACACAACATATGAGAATGTGTGGGACACTGCCTTAGCATCATGAGCTGGAAATCTGTAGTGTGGGTCAACTGCATTTGAAGAGGGAAGGGGCCTCAAATGCATGACCTCAGCTTCTACCTAAAAAACTACAAAAAGAAGAGCAAATTAAAACAAAAGTAGCAGAAAAAAGGAATCACAAAAATAAGAGAGGGAATAAAAGAAATAGAAAAGAGAAAGACAACAGAAAATTAACACAACCAAAAGCTGTTTACTGAGAAGATCCATAAAATTAATAAATATCAAGTCCTGCTGGTCGGGAAAGATAAAAGACACAAACTATCAATATCAAGAACCAGAGAGGTGGGGCACCTAGGTGGCTCAGTCAGTTAGGCGTCAGCCTTCGACTCAGGTCATGATTCCAGGGTCCTGGGATTGAGCCCTGCATCAGGCTCTCTGCTCGGTGGGGAGCCTGTTTCTCCCTTTCCCTCTGCCTGCCGCTCTGCCTAATTGTGTTCTCTCTCTATCTCAAATAAATAAATAAAATCTTAAAAAAAAAAATGGGAGAGGTGCTATCACTACAAACTCTAGATATTAAGGGGATGAGAAGGGAATATGATGAACAGCTTGGTGCCTATCAATTCAATGACCTGGATGAAATGGACAAATTCCTTGAAAGCCACAAGCTACCAAAGGTCACTCAAAAAAGAAATAGAAAGGAAGATAAAAATGTAGAGGCACCTGGGTGACTCAGTCTGTTAAGTGTCTGACTCTCGGATCATGAGATCCAGCCCCACATTAGGTTCTGCCCTCAGCGGGAGTCTTCTTGGATATTCTCTCCCTCTGCCCCTTCTCCCACTCCTTCTCTCTCTCTCTCTCATTCAAATAAGTATTTAAAATCTTAAAAAAAAAAAAGATACAAATGTAGCCCTACATCTATTAAAGACATTGAATTACAGTTAGAAAACTTTCCATAGAGATAAGATAAGGCTTCACTGGTAAATTCTAGCAAACATTTAAGGAAGGATAGCATCAATTCTATACAAATCCTTCCAGAAAACTGAAGAGGAGGGACTATTTTCCTACTTATGCAAGATGCAAGCATTACCTTTACACAAAAATCAGAAAATAACATTATAAGAAAACAAAACTCCAACTAATATCCCTCAAGACCACAGAAAGGATTAATAGCCAAGTGGGGTCGAGCCCAGGAATGCAAGGCTGGTTTAACATTGGAAACTAATCAGTATAATTTACCATATCAACTAAAAAAAGAACTCTGTGATCATCCCAACAGATACAGAAAAAGCACCTGACAAAATCAACCTCCATTCCTTATAAAAACTCTCTCAGCAGGGGCACCTGGGTGGCTTAGTCAGTTTAGCATCCAACTCTTGATTTTGGCTCAGGTCATGATCTCAGGGTCCTGGAATCCAGCCCCGTGGTGGGCCCTGCACTGGGTGTGGAGCGTGCTTAAGATTCTCTCCGTCTCTCTCTCTCTCCGCCCCTCCCCACCCCTCACTTGTGCATGTTCTCTCTCAAAAACATACAAACAAAAAACACAACCAAAAACCAAAAAACTCTCAGCAAACTTGGAATTGAAGCTTCTCAACTTGGTATAAGGCATCCGTCCAAACACAACAAAAGAGAACAGAACTACAAAACATCATACTTAATGGCAAAAAAAATGTTTTCTCCCAAGATCAGGAACACCACAAGCATGTGTGCTCTCACCACTTGTACTCTGTGCTGGATGTTCTCGCCGGTACAAGAAGGGTGACCAGATGGGAACAGAAAAAGTAAAACTAACGCAGATGACACGATCTTAAATGCAGAAAATCTAGACCAGAATGAATGCGAGCACTAGAATTAATAATAGACTTTAGCAAGGCTGCAAGATCAACATACAAAAATCAATTGAATTTCTCTACATTAGCAATGAACACTCAGAAACTAACATCAAAAATACCATTTCTAGGGACGCCTGGGTGGCTCAGTTGGTTAAGCAGCTGCCTTCGGCTCAGGTCATGATCCCAGCGTCCTGGGATCAAGTCCCACATCGGGCTCCTTGCTCATCAGGGAGCCTGCTTCTTCCTCTGCCTCTGCCTGCCATTCTGTCTGCCTGTGCTTGCTCTCTCTCCCTCTCTCTCTCTGACAAATAAATAAATAAAATCTTTAAAAAAAAAATACCATTTCTAATGGCATCAGAAAATGGGAAATACAGGAAAATGAGGTGCAAGACCCATACACTGAAAACTACAGAAGACTGCTGAGAGAAATGAAAGAAAATTTAGATAAACGGAGACATATACCACATTCGGAGGTTGAAAGGCTCGATATTGTTAAGAATCAGCTCTCCCCATGTGGATTTATAGAGGCAATGTCATCCCAATCAAAAAGTGAAAATAATTATCACTAACAACCACAGGGAGATAAAACAGGATATTGCTCTAAGAATCCACGAAGAAAACCATTAAACAGGAAAATTAAGAGAGGTGCCCTGGCGTTCCCCAAGACCACCTCCAGTTTGAGTGATTCCCGGATGGCCTCCCAGACGCCGCACCTCATCATACCCATGACTCAGATTTATGGCAGCGAGAGGGCACGAAGCACAATCAGCAAGGGCAAGAGGCACCAGGTCAGAGTCCAGAGGAAGCAGGCAAGAGTTTCCAAGAGGCCTCTCTCCGGGGAGCCACGCGGCACGTGGTGAGGTCCCCCAGCCGTGAGCTGTAACCCCACAGTCAACCATCCTGTGCAGGGAACCCTTGTGATGGGGACCCTGTGAGCCTCAGTCAAGATCAAACGAGATAAGCAACCAAAACAACACAATCAAGTAAAAAAATAAGAGAGAATTCATGTTACATAAACATGAACTCTTGTCTCCAGAAAATGCATCAGACCTGGCAGCGTGGGTTCTGGCAGGACTTACGGACGAGGAGCCTTGACCAAAACGCTGTGGGACGGAGACGTACAAGGGGGAGAGCGGGGGGGGGGGGGGGGGGGGGGGGGGGCCGGGGGGGGGCCCCCCCGGGGGGAGGGGGCCTGCTGCCTAGGTGCTGGGCAGCTGGGAAGAGGCCTTGTCACTGGGACAGAGGCCACAGGCTTTGGGGTTACCAAAGTCTGGGTCTCGCTGGGGTGGGACCACTTCCAACAGCCCCTTGTGTGCCCCTCTCCCCCCCCCCCCCCCCTCCCCCCGAGTTTACCCCTAAATGCCCCCACGTCACCACCCCCCGCCCGGCCTCTGACTCCGTCTACCCAGCGCCCTGCCACAGCAGGCACAAAGAGCCTCTCAACACCGAAACACACACCATGCCTGGCAGGGCTCAGGCCTCTTCAGAGGTTTTGGACTAAAAGCCAAATTCCCCGTGGTGGCCTTCGAGGGCCCAGGCCTTCTGGCCCCTGCTCCGCCCCACAATGCTCCAGAAGCTGACCCCTCACCCCCCAGCGCTCCTTAGCCTCCACCCCCTGCCCCATACCGGCCTCCTGGTGAGTTCACCCCCCACACTCGGTCAGGGTGAGTCTGTGGATTCCCCCTCCGTTAGCTGCTCTCTCTCTCTCTCTGTCTCATACACACACACACAAGCACACACTCCTTCACGCACACACATTCGCTCATACTCACACCCGTCCACACACACTCCCACACACCTGACTGTGTGGCCAACTCCAAAGTCTCGGCCGTCTTCCCCAGCTGACTCTGCACCCAGCTGCTGGAACCGGCTCCCACCTCTCCCCCGATGACCTGCGGTCAAGGCAAGCGGGCCCCGACCACCGCCTTTCATGCCGAGTTGATAAAGGGGCCGGCTGACACTCGGGCCCCAGATAAGGCAGCCCTCTGCTCCCAGCTGCCTCGGGACGCTCCCGACCGGACTTTAAATCAGAGTTCACAGCGCCTCCCCAGCCCCGCAGAAGCCCCCCCAGCGCCCTCCTCCGCAAACGTGACCTTCACGGAGTAAAACATCCAAATCCACTACGGCGGATCATGAAGGAAAAGACAGTTGAGGCAACGTCCACTAAAAAACTCCTGGACTCTAGAAGGACTGCATAACTGCTGTCCACTTACTGAGAGCTGACAGAGATTACTAAGAGAAGGTCCCTGGCAAATCTGTTTAAAAATACAAACCAAAATAGGATGGGTTATCTTTTTGTCTTGACTTCGCAACCACAAAGAGTCTGCTCTTAAACTTTGCTGGCTTACCGCTGTTCCAAACCCCGACGGCTGAGGTGAGAATCCAGCATCTCTTGGCTCACAAAGAGCCTCTTGCAGAGAGGACCACGGTGAATGGTCACCGTGATGCATGTCAGGCTGGGGGTCGTACAGCCGGGCGGACCAAGGTCCAGGGACATGTCTAAGCTCTTAAGGTTGGATGGTCATGGCGCTGGGACCAAAACCTTGTCCAACCTTCCCCCAAACTTCTAAAGCTTCTAGAAAATCCGAATGCATTTTATCTGTTTCAGTTGCAAAGCTTTCCCCTGTGGCCCTGCTCTGCTTGGAGTGTATGAGTTGCCCGATGAGCAAAAAGCAAATCGGCGGGGCGCCTGGGTGGCTCAGAGGGTTCAAGCTTCTGCCTTCGGCTCAGGTCATGATCTCAGGGTCCTGGGATGGAGCCCCACATTGGGCTCTCTGCTCAGCGGGGAGCCTGCTTCCTCCTCTCTCTCTCTCTGCCTGCTTGTGATCTCTGTCAAATAAAGAAATAAAACTTAAAAAAAAAAAAAAAAAAAAAAAAAAAAAAAAAAAAAAAAAAAAAAGCAAATGGCTACTTACCTCAAAAGTACTAACTTCAAGATCTTCAAATTTTCCCGAAAGTGACATTCCTGCACAGTTCACAAGCATGTCTACTGGGCCCAGTTTCTCCTGTGCCTGGAAAAATTTATGAGAGCAGGCATGAAGTAAAAGAAGAGAAGAATCACTTTGTAGCAAATCAATGACAACAACTATCAAAGCGACAGAGATGACTTGTCAGTTCCCAGCCACACACCAGAATGGGAAGAACCAACTGAAAGGCAAGTGAATGAGTTCCAGCTAGCCCAACCTCTTACTTGTTTTATGACGTTCTCTACTTGGCTGTAGTCTTGAGAAACGTCAACGGATATACAAAGCACCACCTGTTAGGAAGAGGAAAAAAAAAATGATCAAAGCCACGCAGGTATCTGAAAGGAATTTTTAAAGATTTTTTTTAACGTAAAGGCAATTCTTTCCAATAGCTGCGAAGTCTGGATCTGTAGGCACAGATTGCACTGTTGGAAATCTGCTGACAGCGCAACTGTGGAGCCTAATTTTCTTGGCAGTTTTCAAAGAAAACTCTCTTGCGCAAACTCAAAAACATGTCTTAAGAAATGTGGGTCAAAGTACACGCTTTCGGGCGTAAGAGAAATAAGTTCCGGGGGTCTCATGTACAGCACACTGACTACCAACAGGAACAACTCTAGTGCGTACGTGAGATCCCTAGAAGAGCAGATCTTAGGTGCTCTCGACACACACGCAAAGTAACCGCGTGAGGTGACGGGTGTGAATCAACTTGACGGAGCAAGCGTTTCACGACGCCAACGTGCATCAAGTCGTCACACTGTGCCCCTTAAGTGCATACAATTTTTATCAGTTTCACCCGGAAATACAAAGGAAAAGAAATGTAAAAAGCTCCTCTGGGCACGCCTCTGATCTGCAGTGACTGACAGCTGCTCTGAGACCAGCTGCGGCCCGACGTGGAGGGAGGCCTGGACCACGAGGAGGTAAGTGGAACCCTGCAGGCAGGGACATGTTCCGTGTCTGGATTTCAGCGCCACTTTTACACACATATACATCTGTCAAAAGCCATCAAACTGTACTCTTCACATGGGTGTGGTTTACTGGACATCAATTACAGCTCCGGCCGTTAAAAAGAACACATAAATTACATAAAGAATAAACAAAGTGTATATGAATTGCATCTCAAGTTGTTAACATCTAAGGTCGTTAGAAATAAAAACAATAAATCTACTAAATAAGCTCAAAAAAATACTCTCCTTGGAGCAGTCCCCGAGTTCTGATGGCCCTGCTGGGGCTCCGCTTTGTCAGGGGGAATAAAGACAAGCAAACACCACCTACTCGCAAAAGCCACCTTAGTTTGAGTCTGAGCCCAGTGACCTTATCTTTCAAGGCCAAGGGTCCCTCCGGGCTTGTGGGAGCTTGAGATGCCTGACTCTGGACGGGCCGCCCACTCCCAGGGGTCACCAGTCAAGCCCCAGAGCCCACCCAGTCCGAATGTGGCCGCGCACAGGGGTTCCCAGTACAGAGAGACACCAGGAAGAGCCCAGCCCGTGCTGGCCACGGAAAAGTTCCGTTCAGTCTTTGGAAAGGAAGAAGGGAAGGAAGAGAAGAAGGAAGGGGGAGGGAAAAAAGCACTTATTTCCGTGCTTACTTGGACAAAAATTGATAAAATAGCAGTTCAAAATACTAATGAGGACTAACAATGAGCTATTGTTTTAATTTCCCTTTTTGGATAACGTTTTCAAATCCAGAGCTTAGCCTCTGACATCGGAATGTTCTGTGTTCCAAGGGGGGTCGCGGAGAGAAGCAGAAAGGCATTTCTCCACTTCTCAGTCTTTCCGTGAGTTCTTCTTGGTGGAGACTGGCCACCGAGCTGGGGGACAGACAGAAGGACTGTGCACAGGAGGGCACGTCCACTTCCACTCACGCGCCCGTGCGTGGCTGCAAGTTGAAGGAGGTGCGGTGCGGGGGAAGGGGCGGGCACGGGCCAGTCCTGCCCTTCACCCACTAGCTGGGCGGGACCCGAGGGGGCGGCGCTGGCCTCCCCTGCTCCGGCCAGGGTGTCAGAAGCTAGTAACCACAAAGCTCCCCTCCAGCTCTGAAAAGACGCGACGCGAGGAATGAAGCCACGACACGAGGGGGCTGCCTGACAACCTGATGCGGTGGGCAGGAAGTCTTATCTGATGCAGGAAGGAGCGCCATCCAAAGGAGCTAAATCCCTAAGGAAAGGAAACGGCCCCCTTTGAAAATGTGACCTGGAATATTCCAGAGGAGCTGCCCTTGGGTTTTATTCCTGTAACCAGGATTTTTATATGAGGCTTTTTATACAGTATTAGATCATTTACTATAAATAAAAGCTATCCCACAGATAAGCAAAATCTAAAAAAAAAGGGGGGGGGTTCACAAATCACCAGGAAAAACGTGTCCCCGCGGCTCTGCTTGTGCTAAGCTGCACAGCGAAGCCCTTCTGGCCCGGCCCAGCCCATCCTCCCTTTCCCTGACGGAGGCGCCAGGAACTTGCCACATGACCTCAAGCCTTCTGATGGCTGAGGCGGGGGCGGGAGTCTGGGCGAACGAGTCCAGGGCAGGGAGATGCTGCTGACAGCAGGCCTGGCCTTCAGCCAGGAGCACGCGAGCGCCGCGGTTTGACAGGAGACGTCTTCCTCTAGCAGAACTCACATGACTATGGAAAAAAAGAAAACGGGGAGATTGCTGAGATGGCAGCTTTCCGATGCTCTCGGGCTCCAGGGAAGGGGGCACAGAAGCCAAGGTACTGGGGAAGACGCCGCACATGGACACGAGGAGATGCGGACGAGGACCTCTACCTGCAGCACAGGGCACCAAAGCAGAAGACACGGCGGCCGCACCGCCCAGGGGACGACTGCGTACCAGTGGGTCCCTAGACCCCTACGGCAGTTACAAAAGGCGAGGCTGATTTATTTTTCTTGATGTGGAAAGAGCTCTCACGTATTTTGGAGGGGAAAAAGAGGCTACTAAAACTACAGTGTGGGGCACCGGGTGGCTCAGTAGGTTAGGCATCGGACTTCTGCTTTCGGCTCAGGTCAGGATCTTGGGGTCTCGGGTGGTGGGATCGAGCCCTGCACTGGGCTCTGCATTCACTCTACGTGGAGTCTGCTTGAGATTCCTTCCCTCTCTCTCCCCCTCTGCTCCTCCCCCTGAGCTCACACAAACACTCTTTCTCTCAAATTAAGTACTTCTTAAAAAATAATTTAAGAAATTCAAAAAACTACAGTGAAATACCATTTAAAACCCATCCGAAAGGCAAAAATTAGTAAGCCTGCCAATACTAAGTGTTGGCAAGGATGTGAGGCAACAGGAGGCCTGGAGCACTACGGGTGGGCGTGCGCCCACTCTGCTGAAGCGGAAGATGCGTGTGCGCTGTAACTGTACCTCCACAATTCCATTTCCAGACACGGCCCATCCTTGCACACATGCACAGAGACGTGGAGAAAAACTTCAGTAACAGCAAGATGTAAAACTAACCAAAAAACTGGAAACAAAATATCCACCAACAGTAGAACTGATGAACGGGACAGGTCTTCTAAATATATCCGGGAAAATGTTACATAGCAGTAAAAATGGATAAACTATGACTTTATGCAACAATGCAGAAATACCTCTAAAGCAGTCTCTAGGGAAGAAATCAAGTTGCACAAAAATACCTAGAGAATGATGTCCTACAAATCTACAGAGGCAGAAAGCAGATCAGTGATTGCCTGGCGCTGGGGGGTTGGGAGGAACGGGGAGTGACAAGGTCCTGACTTTCTTTACGGGGTGACGGGAAAGCTGTAAAGCGATTCTGGTGCAGGTTGTGCAACTCTGCGGGTAGGCACTGAATTGTACACTTGAACCGGTGAACTGAATGGTATGTGAAGTATGCCTCGAGAAGTCTGACAAAAAAAATAAGGATGGTACCATCAAGTTCAAAGAGAAGCAGAAATAAACAGTATCTTATTTAGGGTTGTGTGCACCCTCTAGTGAAATTATGAAAAGAGCAAAGGATGAATCAACATATAAATCAGCTTGGGGGTTGCCTCGAGAAATGAGACCAGAGGATATGGGCAGCTGATATGGGCTCCCAGAGGGCGCTCCGGGGGGGACCCAGTACATCTCTTTTCTTAAGCTGGGTGATAAGTGCCATAGTAACTTGTTATTATGTTTTATACTGAATGATACATATATACATACACACCATTTTATGCATCAAAAAATACCGTAACCAAAAAAATAAATGTAGTGCCCCTTTCCCCTTAAGTGTTTATATGAAGTTACCTTAAATAAATAACTGAAATAAAATCACTTTCTAGAAAAACATTATTTGATCATTGGTGCGTGTAAGTCAAAGTCTGTACGTTTTTGGTAACAACCTGAACTCGAAGACAATTCAAACGACTTTGCTTTTTAAAAAATGTCTAATATATATCTTAACTAGGAAAATCCTCCCTGCTTTACATGAACTATTTGCAGTTCAAACAACACTTTTCTTCCCTCTACACAGCTGCGCTGATTAGTTCAGAAAATGCATCCCGAAGACGGATCATACCTGTTTATCATTAATAGAGTGCTTTTCAATTTCTTTCTTTGCCTGAAGCAGCTTGTCCTGAAAGCAACAGACAACAATTAGTTCTGGTGATTGTCTATTTGTCTGCTTGTTTGTTTAAATGGGGCAAAAAATCAGTTATTTGTGTAAGTATTTATTAAAGTGCAGAAAACACTCAAGACAGCCTCTGTACTGTACAGCTATGGGCCACAGGGTATGAAAGAAAGGAGCTGTAAAGTTGTGTTCGGCTATGATTAAGTGACAGCAAGGGTTTTCTGAAAGATAACAGAAAAATAAATGAACTGCAAAATCCCAATTAACAGTACTAATTGCTGATGGGCACCATCTCAGTGCTAATGAATGTCTGGATCTGACATCAGTGAGTGTGACATAAACCAAGAACCCCCGCCTAGCCCTGCTATAACCTGTGACCCCACGTCAAGCGCGCTTTTGTGAGAGTGTCCGATATCTTCCTCCTCTCCCATAAAAGCAAATATACTAAAAAATCACTCTTTTAGATAGATGGAGGAAACCTAATCCTGGCTACTTTCCGAGAATAATCCTGAACAAGAAAAGCCATCCCGTAACTGAGAGATTCTTCCAAGGTCTCAATTTTGCTTGTCTGGCTCATTTTTCAAGAAGAGAGATATATCAGTTGGCAGTTCATAATTTGTTCTAAAAATTGTAATTTAAAAACATCAGGGGTGCCTGGGTGGCTCAGTGGGTTAAGCCTCTGCCTTCGGCTCAGGTCATGATCTCAGGGTTCTGGGATCGAGTCCAGCACCGGACTCTCTGCTCAGCAGGGAGCCTGCTTCCCCCCTCTCTCTGCCTGCTTCTCTGCCTGCTTGTGATTTCTCTCTTCTGTCAAATAAATAAATAAAATCTAAAAAAAAAAAATCAAGACAGCTAGAGAAGAAGAGAGGAGGGGAATCCTCCAGAAAGACACGTGGGCTTCTGAACATGGATGTGTCTATAATAAAATAATATTCTATTAATAAAGACAGACACAACTTGCCTTTGTCACAATTGGAATAAACAATTATATTAGAAAATAAAGAATTTCTGGAAGCCAGAAGGCTCATCTGCTCATTCACGTCTAGCAATGCAAGGACCCACAGAAAGAGCTTTTAAGCACCTGAAACTTGGGGCCACCCCTGCTTCCTTTTCATCTACCTTGTATCAAATATCAACATTGTTTACATCTCAAATAATGCCATTTTATTAAAGTTATGTTTTCTGGGTGCTTGGATGGCTCAGTTGGTTAAGCGTCTGCCTTCAGCTCAGGTCATGATCCCAGGGTCCTGGGATCAAGCCCCGCATCGGGCTCCCTGCTCAGCAGGAAGCCTGCTTCTCCCTCTGCCCCTCTTCTTCACTCATGCTCTCTCAATCTCTCTCTCAAAAGTAAATAAACAAAATCATTAATAAAATAAAATAAAGTGACATTTTCCTTCCCATAAAGTGGCTTTAATGCCAAAGCAAATTCACTGTTAGAGATGTCAGGATACAAATGGGAAGTAGCAATTCTGCCTTTCTTGATTTTAAGAAGAAATTATGAACATTGAAGCCTAATAATACTGTGCCAATATTTAAACATTTCCCCCCTTCCCGAGGTGCTCCTGGGTAGCTGTGTACCCCCACCTGAGTGGTTGGTCACCCCACTGTTGCCCTCCTTTGGCATATGAGAATCCGAAGGCCCCCGGCAAAGATGCCACACAGGCGTCCCCATTCCTTCCGCCAGCCCTCCCTTCATGTCTCCATCCACAACTCTGTTTTGAGCACCCGCCAGGAGCCAAGGACGGCGCCAGGCACAGAACAATGGCAGGTGCTCACAACACAGCCATGGTCGTCTCCCCCACCGTGCCTCCCCCCGCCTCCCCAGAGAGAGAGGACTCCACAACTGTTCGTGTGAACACAGTGTCATTGCTTTGGCTGTGGAAACAACTTTGGCAAGAATAACAGACCCTGGGGGGATAAAAAAGAAAGAAAGAAAGAAAAGAAAAACAGACCTTGTGTTGACTTGACACAGAAAAACACACGTTTTGCTACAATGCTGGGGAGCAACGAGTCCCTGGTGGAGTGTGGATTTCATTAGAGATGGACATCATCTGGATAATAAGCAAATTCCAGAGAGACACCTGCCCGTCCTGATCAGGACGCGGCTATCAGCCCTGTGATCGGCCCTGCCGCCGCCTCCTGGCAGGCGGACGCCCTCCCTGGCTCCCTGAGGCCTCTCCCACCCAAAAGCGCAGAGCCTCCCATGTTGCCTAACAGTCGGTGAAACTAAATAAATATTTGTGAAGCTGGCCTGGCTTCAACTGAGAAGTCTTTGCCCTGAATATGAGAAACAACCAGTGGTTCAAAAATCACACCTGGAACCAGAAATCCAATTCCCAGAACATGGGCACCGCCTCTCCCACAAATCTAAAGCCGAATAAGGAAGTGGGTAACGACACACCCAGAAGACTTACCTCATTCCGTGCCACCAGAGTTATGAACGCTCCTTGCTTATAGCACTCGATAGCGATACACTTTCCAATACCACTGGAGCCCCCTGTAACCTAAAAGCAAAAATAATCAAATCTTCTTAGCTCTCGAAATTTCCCTTCTCGTTCATTTAAAGTGACAATGGGCTCAAAAACCCAATCTACGAGAACCAGACTTTTAGTGATGGTAGTTTCTTCATCCCAGACTTCACAAAAGAAGGGCAAATATGGAAGATGTCACTGTTAGCGGGTCCTGCTGCTGACTGTTTTCAGTACCGAGCTATTACCTGCACACCTATGTTTTCCTGCATTCACTGGAAGGAAAGTGCCCTATAAATTGAGCTAATAGATAATACATTAGTCTACCTCTGGGTCCAAATTCAGATGAATCTTATTTCCTTACTGCGTATCTTCTGTATGACTATCTTCAAAAGAGATGCAAAGAAGAGCCACCTGCACAGATCATCTAATATTTTACATGACTGCTTATTATAAAAGAAATATATGATTACATGGAAATATTAAAAGGTAAAATCTTCCTTCTTGTACTATTCTGCTCCTCACAATCTAGCTCAGGCCTACTGGCTGTCTTTGAGTTCCATGCCCCCCTCCAACCACAGGGCCTTTGCACATTCTACTTCCCTGCCAGAAATGCTCTTCTCCCCTCTTTTCATCCAGCTGGCTCCCATTCACCCATTAAATCTCAGCACAGGGGCACCTGGGTGGCTAGGTCGGGTGAGCACGGTTCCGGCTCAGACCATGATCTCATGGGTCCTGGGATCCAGCCCTGCTTTGCCGGGCTTGGTGCTCAGCAGGCAGTGTGCTTGAGATTCTCTCTCTCTGCATGTTCCACCCCCCCACATCAAATAAATAAATCTTTAAAAAAAAAAAAAAAAAACAATCTCAGCTCAAACATCACTTCCTCAGGAAAACCTTTACTGACTGCCCCTTCCCTAACTACAACCCACCTTCTAGCACTGCATCCTTTTTCCTTTATGGCACTTACATACTCAAACAGCCATGCATTTATTTGTGTAATTATTTGATTCACGGCCATTTCTCCTATCACTGCCTCATAAATGCCAGAAAAATACCATCTCCATTTCTGCTCCCACTATATCCCTAGCACTTAAGAGGACAGTGCCTGGCAAATAGGAAGAGCTTGATATACATTTAACTTCATAAGACAATGCAGTATTATCTTTCTAGTCATTTTTCCTATGAAATTATATATTATAGAGGAAGAGAATGGGGGCCCAGCGTTATCGGGTGAAGGGAGTGGGGAAGTATCTGAGAGGCATCTGACCTTACATGGTATCATATCCTACTTTAAAAATATATATATATCGGGGCACCTGGGTGGCTCAGCTGGTTAGGCGTCTGCCTTCGGCTCAGGTCATGATCCCAGGGACCTGGAATCAAGTCCCACATTGGGCTCCTCGCTCAGCGGGGACCTTGATTCTCCTTCTGCCTGCTGCTCCCCCTGCTTGTGTGCTCTCGCTCTCTCTCTGACAAATAAATAAAATCTTTAAAAATAAATAAACAGAATAGAATAGAATAGAATAAAAAATACATATCAAAATGTTTTATGTCAAAAAACTAAAAGGCTTCACTATATTACATCAAGGAGCGGTACTAAAACTTAGTTGACGATTTCCCTCTAACAGACATTCGGATTATTTCAAATGTTTTACTGTTAGATATAAATCATGCTGTAATGAACATCCTTGACCCCATCTCAATGATTTTAAAATTATCACGAAGCCACTTCTATACAATGTACCAGTCTCCATGGATGCTGAGGGTCCCCTACTTTTCTTTAGCCTCAATTCCTCACCACTGAAGAGACCTCCTTGGCAGGTAATTAACCAATTATCTCCAGAAGGTTACTGTAAAAATCTACCCGCTGCCCCAGCCAACAGTTGCCTCTGAGGAGCTCTTTGCTGCTGAGATAGTTCACGGGTGGCTTTGGCTTTTGAAATTTCACCAGACATTCCCATTCCACAGCAATTAATATGCCCCCGGCTGTCGTATGATGGTGTTACTGCTGCCTCGATGTCCCTCCACCCAACATCCCCTGCATTACCTACCTATCCAAATCTTACCTACCATGCAGAGGCCAGATCCAACGTCCTCTCCTCCAGGAAGCCTTCCTGACTCTGTCACTCAGTCCTGTCCTTTACCTGTCCCTTTCCACTTTGTGTACACATCTTAGCTCCGTGACCAAACTGTAAGCTCCTTGAGGATGAGCACTGAGTCCAATATATCCCCCCTACTCTGAACACAGAACCTGGCATAAGCCGTTGCGAAATGAGCACTCAGCCAACATTAATTTCCAAGAGTGGTGCAATGGTACCATTTCTCTGAAATAGACAATGCCAAAAAAATTGGAAGTAAAGTTTCCCTATCTGTTATTCGATAAATTAATGGAAGCTGAAGTTATAAGGTTATTGAGAAAACCTACATTCTCTAAAGTGCTACTGCTGTGATTGCTGTCCTTTTTCTAGACCGTGCTAGGTAAGCTGGCTGTGTCCACGCACTGCACAGACGAGAGACTGTTCAACCTGATCACTTCTAAGTCTTTTCCTTAAGAGCAAGGGTAAGGCTTTGATCTTTCGGTCCTAGCTCGTGAGAAACTAACCTTCTAATTAAGCTAATGCTTAAGCATCTAAGACTATCTAAGAGTATACATCAGCCAAGTCTAGGCTGTGCTATTCTGAATGGCAGAACAACAGGAAGAGATTTTCCAAAGGGCTGAGAAAAGTGGGAAACACGGACGGAGTTGCCTGACAACTGGCAAACTGGGCCCAGGTGTTAAAGAAAACAGCTTAGGGGCGCCTGGGTGGCTCAGTGGGTTAAAGCCTCTGCCTTGGGCTCAGGTCATGATCCCAGGGTCCTGGGATGGAGCCCCGCATCAGGCTCCCTGCTGAGCAGAGAGCCTGATCCCTTCCTTCTCTCTGCCTGCCTCTCTGCCTACCTTTAATCTCTGTCTGTCAAATAAATAAATAAAATCTTTAAAAAAAAAAAAAAAGAAAACAGCCTAATTTCCTTTCCTTATCATTGCCTCTTACGATTCAATGCAAAATATCATTTAAATGTTTCTATCTCTTTCATCACAGCATACACCTCTTATTGAGGACAAGAAACAGGGTGGTTTGCAGCAAGAACTGCTCCCAGCCATCTCCAAAAAAGGAAGGACCTGATTTTCCAGTTCTCCCCAAGTCGATTAAACAGGTTTTTAAACATAAGTACATACCCTGTAAGACTCCTACAGTATTACCGCTGTCATTAGGGAGATAACATTAGTATATGCGAACTGTTCTAAATAGAAAGCAATAATTGTGACCTAAGTCTGTTCATGCTTTCACATAAGGAGACATTCGAAATGTTAGCTCCCTCTCCTAACACCACCTGGTCCAGTCCTAACAACTCTCAAGAAAAAGAATGGCACTTTCCCTCGTCCTGTGACATTAAAAAAGAAGACAGATGGTGACATCATGTGAATTATTCATGTCATCCTCACATTATTTATAGTGGCGCATTAAAATGGGATGGTGAAAAAAAGAAATTCTTCTTAGTTTACCCCAACAGACTCATTATCTTACTCAGGGCCTGCGGCACAATGAAGCGAGAAGGACTGGAGTGAAGGTTAAGTGAAACTCCCTTAAAAATACTGAATCGAAATGTTCACTCCTGCTTTTGGCTTTACATTTTTTTTCCAAGCTATGTTCTGCAAACGTAACTTCTGCAAGATTTCAACTTTGAAAGCCATGCTTCTGAGGAAGTTCTCTTGAAGATGTGACACTTTCAGAATTTGGCCTCCGTGGAAAGTTTGGCTTCTCTCGCTCTCTAAATGAATTTACACTAACCTCATCCACCCTGCACATCAGCAACAGCAGGAGCAGGACCATGTAAAGAAAAATACGTTTTCTCATTCACAAACGTTTGTCCAGATCTAAAGCACACTAAAATAAATGACCAGTCCAGCCTGGTCAGCTCGGCAGGGAGGCTCCGTCTCGACAGGCACCCGGCTCGAAGACGTCCCCTCTGGCAGGATTCCTGCCGCCCGCTCAGTAACTAACTCTCCTTATTCAATCACCGCCCACCTCGGTGTGCCTCGGGCTGGTGAGATCCGAATAAGAAAACCGATGCGAAAGCCACAGCAAGTGGCAAAGTGCTGCGCGCAGGTGAGAAGGAAGGTGCCGACACCTGCAGAAAAGGGATCTCTGAAGACACTCGCTTCCGGTAGGAAAGGACCCAACCCCACCCACACCTCCCGCATCCCTCCCGCACTCGCAGGTCGGTGAGCTCGTCCACCGGACTCCGAAATGATGGCCTACCCGGGGACTGAGCTCCGACAGACCAGCCGTGTAGACGGGACAGAAGCGTCCCGACACCGTGGAGCCGGGACCGCCAGGCCCCTGCGTTCCGGGCGGTTTTCCCCCCCAAGGTGAGTCACTTCCTGGATTCCTCTGGCAACTGCTCTTTCTGTCACTCGCACAGGCCTTCTTCCCGTTCCGCGCTGCCTCGGTGGGTCCCGGCGGCTGGGACCCCTTCCCTGCCGCCCGCCTCCCCGCGACCCGGCCGGGACCGCGCGCCTCGCCCTGCGCGGCCACCGACCGCGGTGTCCTTGGCAAAGTTTCTCAGCCTTTCCGCTCCTCGGTGGACTCATCGGGAAAACCGAGCGCAGCAATATCCACATCCCACGGGTGCCCCGGGGCTTAGCGAGCGGCTCCCGAGTCCCCGGCGCCCCGCTCTCCCGCCCCGGGGAGGGCCAGCTGCGGCGGAGGGCGGGGCCCCGCGGTCCCCCGCAGGGACGGGGCCGGGCCGCGCGGCGGCAGGTGGCCCTCGGCGGAGAAAGGGACGCGGGCGGCTGGGCCTCGGTCGCGGGCCGGCGCGCCAGGGGGGCGGGCTCGGGGCGGCCGAGCGGGCCGGGCGGCGGCCGCAGCGGCGGCGGCGGCGCAGCAACAGGAGGCCACTCACCACTACATGCGCCCCGGGCAGGGCAAGGGGCTTGGGGCTGATGAGCGGTGACACCATGTAGAGCAGCAGCACGAACGCCACGAGGAAGGCGGCGGCCAGCAGCAGCATCGCTCGGCGGGGCCGGGCCGGGCCGGGAGGGCGGGCGCGCGGGGCTCGGCGGCGCGGCGATCACGCGCGGCCGCGCGCAGCAGGAGCCGCTGTTTGGGTTCGCGGCCGGCGCGGGGCGGGGCGGCGGCCGGAGGGGAAGAGGCGGAGCCGGCCGAGGGCGCGACCGCGGCGGGGCGGCGCTTCCCGGAGGCGGGGGCCGGGGCCGCGAGGCTGGGGGCCTGTGGTATTGCTGCGGGACCCGGCCCGCGACCTCCCGGCTGACGGGGTGTCCCCGGGCGCGGGGGCGGCGGGGCCCCGGCGGCGCCACCTGCCAGCGCCTCCCGAAGGGCCGGGGCAACGCTCAGGGGTGGGGTCGGGGTGCTTCTTAGGACCGCGGAGGCCGGTTTCCAGGCCTCCCCAAGCCGAGTCTGGGGGTGGGAGCCGCTCGGGCCCCGGTTCCGCGCTCGCGCCCGGCGGCCGCCGGAGCCGGGGAACGCGATCCCGGACGCTCGAAGTCGCGGCCTGGGGCCCGGCAGACCCTGTCGCAGTGGGGGAGCCCTGAGATCAAGCCGACCTCCCGGCTCCATGTCAGCCTTCTAGGCGTGCTCCGAACCGTCACAGCCCACGGTCGCGTTTCAGAGGACCGAGAAAGCCTTACCGTAGAGCCTAAAAAGCCACTCGGATGGAATTTCCTTGAGCTTAAGAGTCCATCCCCGTTCCCAAGGCTGCGTTCAAAACAAAACAAAGCACAGCTTTATTGAGATCTAATTCACATCCCATACAATTCACCGATTTAAAGCACACAATAAACAGTTTTTAGTACAGTCACAGACTCCTGCATCCACTACCACAATCAATTTTAGAACATTTAGTTACACCCCCCCACACACCCCCAAATACCTTGCATCCATCTGCACCCACTCCCTGGTTCCTCCCAAGCCCCCGCCCAGTCCTAGGCTACCACCCATCTTTCTGTCTCTAGGTTTGCCTAAGCTGGGTATTTCATATAAATGGAATTCCGCAATGTAGGCCTTTTCTGTCAGGCTTATTTCACTTATATTATTTTCGAGGTTCACCCATGTTATACAATGCAACGGCCCTTCATTCTTTTTATCACCAACTTGTATTCCCTGGTATGAGTATACCACATATTATGTTCACCAACGGATGGACAGAGAGGCTCTTTCCATTTAAGGGCTATTAGGATTTCTACCGCTGTGAACATTCATGTACAAGATTTCAGGTGGACATTTGCTTTCATTTCTCTTGGATCTACACCTAAGAGCAGAATGGCTGGATCTAGGGTAACTGTGTTTAACCAGAGCTGCCAGACCTTTCTATTCTCGCCCACAACGTATGAGGGTTCCGGTTTCTCCACATTCCCACCAACACTTGTTACCATCTGTCTTTTTCATTATAGCCTTCCTAGGGGGTGTGACGTTTCCTTCTGGTTTTGATTTGCATAAGGAACATCTGTTTGTTTGCCTGCTTGCTTTTCCCTTCTGTTGTTGTTTTTAGAAACATGCAAGAACTCAGGGGCAAATTGATCTCATTTTTTCTTCTTTCTTAATTTATTGCCCAGAGTTAGGCAAATGACAAGGCTTGAGGGCACAGTCCCCAAGACTTCTGACACCAATTATGAAGTTGGGGGTTCCCCTCAAAATGAAAAAAGTAAAAATTAAAGAAACAAATTTGGGGGTTCCCAAACCACCTTCACTTTTGATAATTCTCTGGAACGCCTCACAGAACCCACAGAAAGCTGTTATTCTCGTGGTTGTGGTTCATGACAAAGTCAGCTAAGGGAAAAAGTACAGAGGTCAAAGTATGGAGGCCTCCTGTTGCCACCTTCCATGGAGTCAGGACAGGTGACCCTCCCAGCATGGGTGTGTGATAATAGCACTGAGTACTGCAAACCAGGAAGGCTCATTTGGTGTCCAGAGTGTTTATTGGCATTTCCAGCTTGTAAGTACAATTGACTAATTGTACATATGGCTGAACTCAGTCTTAGAAGGTCAACTGATGATACGACCTTCCACCTAAATCACATGGTTGGTCCTTTTGACAGGATCAGCCCCCACCTCAAAGTCCAGACTGGCCTACCTCATCTAAACAAAGGCACTTCTATCAGCTGTGGCACAGATTACCTCCAAGAAGCCAAAGACAAAGGCTAGAACTTCTCTTCCGGCAAGCCTAGATTCTTGACTACACAGGCCACTCCCTGGCCTTTATCTAAAGCTCTCCTACAGCAAAACAAACACATGCCCTAACATTTGGAGGAGGTAGGGTAGAGTAGGAGGCTCTTAACTCAATTTCCCAATAGATTTGACCAACAATATCAGTAGTGCAATCTTCCTACCTTCACTCCTCTAAGACAGTGCAGTGTTACACCATATCACAAGATGGGCTGTAGACATAACCCGAAAAATAAGAGCCAAAAGATAATGGCCTGTCACTGGAATGTCACTCAGTCATCAACAACTGGTCCAGCTCATCATCACGTCACATGTCTCCGAAAGTCATCTCATTCATATTTGCAGGTTTCCATTCAACTCTATCAGTTTCTAGAAACAAGGGTGCTCTCCACCCCCTAAGACATCCGGTATAATTGAGCTTTCATAGGAGACAATATCATCTCTTGCTGTGAGCCTCCATCAAGGTGTTGATGTAACTCTGGATTATGTTTGTTGCATAGCCCATTTATTTGTTCTTTTACCCTCAGCTACTAGTTCTCCTTCTCTCTATTTGTGACTTATTTTTACCCAGACTTTCTCACAATGGAAGGAAGGCTAGGTTCAGCCTAGTTCTAGGCTGTTGCAGACTCCTAGCACTGCTACTAATTGAGCAAATGCCTCTCCCTCGGTCCATTCCCATTCATATAGGGGAAGGTAACAGAGGTGCATAACCTGTGGGCTTTCTCAACCAACCACCACACAACACATCTGTGTTCGCTGTCAACCCCAATTTCATCAGATGGAGGGAAGGCGTAACCATCACCCCCATTAATATCTTGGAAGTCTAGTATAAACGTTTAAAAATAGAGTTAGAGTTTCTTGCTTGGGGATCATCCTTGATTCTACCACCTGAATTTGAAGCCCTGGCCCTTGAGATCACTGAATCGGGGAGAAAAAGAGGAAAGTTGAGGCAATGTGGAGAAAAAAAAAAAAAAACAAACGAAAGTATGGTCATACCTTCTTCTCTCCATGGGAAGAACTGCGTAGTTGCACCAGCATTCTCCCTCACCCTCTCCAGATTCCCCAGAAGAGTGGAGAAATCTATCAGAGTGGGCAACATGTTCAGGAAGATGTAGATGTCAGCCCTTCGTGCCTTTATTTCTTCCTCCCCATTTTCCTTTCCTTTCTTTTTTCTTTTCTTTTCTTTTCTTTTCTTTTCTTCTTTTCTTTTCTTTCCTTTCCTTTCCTTTTCCTCTTCTTTTCTTTTCTTTTCTTTAACATTTATTTATTCATTCCAGAGAGGGAGAGCGCATGGGGGTGGGTGTAGAAGAGAGAAACTTAAGCAGATTTTCTCTAAGTGTGGAGCCCCAATACGGGGCTTGATCTCATGACTCTGAGATCATGACCTGAGCAGAAACCAAGATTCAGAGGATTAACTAACTTTGCCACCCAGGCGCCCCTCCCTCCCCCATTTTAGACAATAAATGTTTCAATTTCCTGTTCCAATTCTCTGTCAGACCTTTACTCAAGATGATATGCAACATGATTCGTCCGCCTGATGTTATCTCTTTGCCCATGACTGGACACTGTGTGCTGAAAAGTGCGTTCCTTGGTCTGAAGACATGGAAGTGGTGGTCCAAGTTGTTATGATATCGTCTAGTCCAGTCCTTTTATCGTATTTTGATCATTTGCTCCTAACTCTAGGCCTGCAAAATCCAATCCAGAGTGTGTCTCTTCCTGTCAAACCACATCTGTAACCTTCCAGGGCTCCCAGCATCTGTCCAGGTACCAGCTCTGTGTTTCCCCCAGGGAATCTGTTCCGCAGCCGTCTGCTGCCTCTGTCAGTTTGGGTGGCCCACAAAAAGGGTCTCATTGGCATCTCCAGAGGGTACAAGAGGACATGTCTAGACTCATCCCATCTCTGCGTTGCTGTGCCACTCCCCACCCCATCCCCATATCCATTCATGCCATGGACCCAGGTGGCCAACCCAAATAAGCACAACAGGATAGTCACCAGCTGGTTCCAATCACCTCCCAGTCCTAAAAGAAGGTTATTCTAATGAACAGTGACATGCCTCCTTTGATGTTCCCCTTGATGGCCATAGTGATTTCCATAAGGCAGTGCCCCCTACAGCATCCCTTGAACAGAGGCAAGTTTTCCATTGCTCTTTTACTTAACCACATGGCCAAGACATTAGCCATTGCCCATGAGTTGGTTCAAAATCCAAACATACGGGTCACACCACATAATTCAGCTCATTGGACTGATCTGTTCTCATTTTCTTCTATCAGAGCGGCGGCCTCCAAACATCGTGTGATCTATACACCTTGAGACTGACCTCTGTAAGCCAAGCAGTTCTTTTTTGGTCCATAGAGAGCTGTTTGTAAGGCACTGCCCAAGGGCCTACAGATCTAGCAATTTCTCAGGTGGTTCCAAAGTCAGCCCTAGGGGAAAAGATTCTACCTGCTTGTGAACATGTATGCACCTCCTTGTCCCCTGGTACCATGTTCCTGCAAAACCAGCTCCACTGTATCATGGAACTCGTCTAGACATTGCTTTTTCCATGAGACTGTTTCTCTGACATCACCTGAGACGTTTTATGTATTTCAGGTTTCCAGATTATTTTATGTCCTTCAGTCAACGGGGCGGTTTCAGTTAATGTCCCGTAGCAAGCTAGTAATTGGCTCTGAGATGGAAATCCTCTGTCCGAAGTCACAGCAGTCATTGATAGGGGATGCTCACAGCCTTTTGCCATAAGCCCCAGTGTGAGTAAGGATTCTAGAACTTCATTCTAGTGGTGTTACAGGTACGATCTAGTAGTATTTCCAGATGTGGAATATGCACCCTCC